ATGAATATTATTGCACCATGGTCTATTAGTGCCACAATTTCATTTTCTGTAAAAATGGGAACACATGGGCATTGCCCTTCTTCCTTTCCACATGGTCATAGAATCATAGAGTTGGAAGAAACCACATGGGCCATCTAGTCCAACCCCCTGCCATGCACGAAAAGCACAATCAAAGTATCCCTGACAAATGGCCATCCAGTCTCTATTTAAAAGCCTCCAAAAAGGAGCCCCCACCACACTCCAGGGCAGAGAGTTCCACTGCTGAACAGCTCTCACAGTTAGGATGTTCTTCCTAATGTTCAGGTGGAATCTCCTTTCCTGTAGTTCGAAGCCATTGTTCCGCATCCTAGTCTCCAGGGCAGGAAAAAACAAGCCTGTTCCCTCCCTTCTAAGACTTCCCCTCACATACATGGCTATCATGTCTCCTCTCAGCCTTCTCTTCTGCAGGCTAAATATGCCCAGCTCTTTAAGCCGCTTCTCATAGGGCTTGTTGTTCTCCAGACCTTTGAGAGTGCCCAATTAATACAGACTGGATTATCAGCTTATCGCATAACCACATAACCTGAATTAAAGGGGGCATCTAATACCATTCACCAGAAGTTGAATGATTGCAGTTTGGAAACAGGGAAGTAGAGAGGAAAAAGTTACACCCAATAAACATCCACATCACCATGCAGCAGCAGCAGCGCTAGTTACTTATTGCACCTGTGGCAAAGTGGGAACTATATACTGTTTGGAGTCTATTTGCAGATTTCTTCTGTGAATTAAAAGGCATGGTCAAACAATGAGAGGAAATCTGAAATACAAGTGGCATGTAACTGTATGATAAGCAGCATGATGATGAAGTATTGAACAGCTACAAACATGTGCCCCACCATCAGTTTGCAGTTCAAGACAAGTATGCCATTGCATTGTGCTATCAGCAGCTAAATTCCATTGTTATGAAGCATTTTTATATTATTAACTGCTGCCAAGACAATTTGAGGTGCCCTATATATGAAGGACCTACAGGCCTCCCTTTCATCAATAGCCCTAGTAACTTCTTGCATGCTCAAGGTTGTGGTTTCCTTGATTGAGTCTATCCACCTGTAATGCTGTCTTCATATTTTCTGACTGCCTGCCTTTTAGCAGGTCCCAATATCTTCAGGATTCTTCAGGAATCAATTGAGTTGATTTCTTCCTATTATTTTTTATTATTTACTATATTTATACCCTGCTCTTCTCAACCCCGAAGGGGACCCAGAGCGGCTTACAGATTATGGCAACATACAATGCCTCATCATACAACAATTAATAAATATAGCATATCAAATTATAAAACCAAACATATAAATGTAATAAGTGCAACAACAAATAATAAATATAACATATCAAATTATAAAACATATAAATGCAATAAAACATATTAAAAATGTCAGCTTTTCTCACTGTCATCTTTCACAACTATACATAATTTTTTTCACAGTATGTTCACAGTAAAAGACATGAAAAGTTTTACTGTGCCTCCTATAGAGTAAGCCCCTAGTAGCACAGTGGAGTGCTGAGTTTCTGAACTTGCTAACCAAAAGGCCACAGGTTCAAATCCAGGGAGCGGCATAAGCTCCTGTTGTTAGCCCCAGCTTCTGCCAACCTAGCAGTATGAAAACATGCAAATGTGAATAGATTAATAGGTACCACTCCGGTGGGAAGGTAATGTTGTGCCATGTAGTCATGCTGGCCATATGACCTTGGAGGTGTCTACGGACAACGCCGGCTCTTTGGCTTAGAAATGGAGATGAGCACAAACCTCCAGAGTCGGATATGACTGGACTTAATGTCAGGGGAAAACCTTTACCTTTACCTATGATGCAATTTCTGTTGTCCATAAGGGATGATTTGCCATTGCCATCCCCTCCTACTGCTGCAGCCCGGTAGCTGTTTGGCACCTTACTCTGGAAGAAGCCTCGGTATACTCAGTATATGAGTCACACCTACATATGTGTACACAGAATTTCTGTATATTTATTTCTCCATCATTTTTCATTTACATAGACTTACCATAAAGTTTTTGTACAATTAAATACTACAAGAGGAAATTGCTTTCTAAAAAGAGGAGACTTTAGGTTCACAAAGTTAACTATGATGAGGTCACTTTTCCTTGAGCTGCATAATCCGTTGCTTAAAAAGTTAAAGAAACTAATTTTTCACAGGTGAGTGAAAAATTAATGCCTCCATCGCTCTAACTTTTATTTCTTCCCCAGCTACTGGACTATCTATGTAAGATATGATAGAGGTAACCTTTCTCTACTGACATAGTCTTTTCTTTTTCCGATTGACTGATTAGAGCCATGAAATTGAAGCTAAAAGAAAGAGTCATCATTGAATTTATGGCAAAAGAAGGTTGTAGATCTAAGGCAGTGCTTCTCAACCTTCCTAAGGCCACTATCCCTTAATACAATTTCTCATGTTGTGGTGACCCCCAACCATAAAATTATTTTCGTTACTACTTCATAACTGTAATTTTGCTACTGTTATGAATTGTAATGTAAATATCTGAAATGCAGGATGTATTTTCATTCACTGGACCAAATTTGGCACAAATACCCAGTACATCCAAATTTGAATACTGATGAGGTTGGGAGGGATTGATTTTGTCATTTGAGAGTTGTAGTTGCTGGGATTTATAGTTCACTTACAATCAAAGAGCATTCTGAACTCCATCAACAATGGAATTGAACCAACCTTGGCACACAAAACTTGCGTGACCAACAGAAAATGCTTTGGTGGGCATTGACCTTGTGTTTTGAAATTGTAGTTCACCTACATCCAGAGAGCACTGTGGACTCAAACAATGATGGATCTGGACCAAACATGGCCACTCAATATGCCCAAATGTGAATACTGGTGGAATTTGCAGGAAATAGACCTTGACATTTGGGAGTTGAGATTTATAGTTCACCTACAATCAAAGAGTATTTTGATCCCCATCAACAGTAGAATTGGGCCAAACTTCCCACACAGAACCCCCATGAGCAACAGAAAATACTGTTTTCTGATGGTCTTTGGTGACCCCCCCTGACACCCCCGGGGTTCCTGACCCCCAAGTTGAGAAATGCTGACCTAAAGAAATTCATAATTACTTGAAGAATATTTACAATTTGGCCCCTACTGACTTTTACCTGTTGGGTCACAAAGCAAAACCCTGAATTTTTCCAAAATTGTTTTGATGCCTGGGTTAAATGATGGCACAAATGTGTGCAAATTGAATGTGTGAATGGTAGTTTTGTGTACAGGACAGTTCAGATTATGATCTGTAGCAGCTTATGCGGTTATATGTTCATTCATAATATTTTTATGACACAGGAGGCAAAACTTTTTGACCCATCCGTGTCTGTGTGTGTGCATGTGTGAATATATATATATATATATGCAAATATATTTAAAAAATCTGACTTGGGAAACAAAGTGTCACACCTTCCAGTTTCACACTTGTGACCAGTAGTAAAGACAACCTTGTGTAAGAAAACATAACTGACTGGATGAACCAGTATGGATATAAAAAATAAATTGAGATTTCCCCTTCCTTTCGCATTGTTCTCTATGAAGAGATCCAAGCCAAAATATTCAAATTACATGTTAGTGTTGTTGGTTAGGGAAAAAAATAGAAACAGCTTCCTGATAGGCATTCTTCCATAACAGAAGAAACAGTATTGAAAGGTGGAGTAATTTCATTTGATAGGAAGCTGGGTGGAAGAGTGATATAGCCAGAAGTGGATTCCCAGAAGTGGATGTTTGGCGTGGGAACTAGTTTATAAAGTCAATTCTAGCTCAGTGGATGTATGTACAGATGTATGTACAGAGTAAGCCAACATTGTGCTGATCCTTGCTTCACTGGCTGTGACATCATTGCTCACAAATACGGTATTTCTAGCAAAGCAGAAGAGAAGACTGATGTGTAAATATGTTTGTTCAGGCCACAGGTGAAAGAACTGTGCTTTAAAAAACCTAAACTCACAAATGACCACGAGCGGAAGATGTCCATCAATTTGCAATAAACAATGTTTGTTCATCAGAGGTCACTGAGGTCAAGAGTGGGATTCAGGAAGACCCAGCTTTTCTGGTTTGGGACTTCGTGCACCTGCCACAGTATTCAGAATAGTATTGGGCAGGTTTACCACAGAGATATTGAGGAGTTTTGGCTGGAGAAAGGGTCTATTTGAGGAGGAATCCAACGGCCTCATTTTGGGTCAATCTGAGAAGTCCCCATTTGTAGTCCAGGGTTGGGAGACGAGTGGGCCTGGGGGCCAGGTGCTGCCCTGAGGCTACTTCAGGCATGGGCAAACCTGAGTCCTCCTTCCAGGTGTTTTGGATTTTAACTCCCACAAAGAAGGGGGTTTGGTGATTCAGGCACTCTCATTTTAGGCCCCTTCTACGCTGCAATATTAAATACAGATTATCTCCTTTGACCTGGATTATATGGCCGTGTAGACTCATGTAATCTGGTTCAAAGCAGATAATGAATGATAATCTGGATTATATGGCAGTGTAGAAGAGGCCTGGATTATATGAGTGTATACTGCCACATACTTACTTTACTTACTTAGATGATCCTTTGTAGCCCGAGGATGATGGCCCTCCAAGCGGGTTCCACAGGCAGGGGGGCCACAGCTGAGAAGGCCCTGTCTCTCATCCCCGCCAGGCGTATTTGTGACATTGGCAGGAGCGAGAGCAGGGCCTCCCTAGATGATCTTAAACTGTGAGGCGGGACGTAGAGGGAGATGCATTCAGACAAGTAAGCTGGGCCAGAACTGTATAGGGCGGTGGTTCTCAACCTGTGGGTCCCCAGATGTTTTGGCCTTCAATTCCCAGAAATCCTAACAGCTGGTAAACTGGCTGGGATTTCTGGGAGTTGTAGGTCAAAACATCTGGGGACCCACAGGTTGAGAACCACTGGTATAGGGCTTTATAGGTCAAAACCATGGGCGCCTTTGGTCAGAAGCCTTTGCCCATGGCTGCCTCTCCTCTCCTCTCCAATGCCTCCCTGCTATGGGGCTGAAACTTGGGAAGTCAAGGGACCTGTCCATTCAGTCATTCCTTCTGGAGGCGTGGAAGGGAGGTGTCTTGGAGCTGAGCTTCAACCACATCAGGGTAACATTACTCTGAAAGGAGAAGAGGAAGAAGGCAGGCAGCACAGCTCTGGGAAGAAGACCTTGGAGGGAAGGAAGGAGAGGACAGAAGTGAGCAGGAGGAGGAGGAAGAGGAAGAAGAGGGAAAAGGGAGGATTTGCAGGGAGAGAGAGAGGAAGTGAAGGAGGTATAAGTAAGGGGCAGAGGTGTGAGGCGTTTGAGGGGCTGAAGGAGAGCCCAGAAGAGCCTTTCGGGACCTTCTTTCCGAGGTCTAGCCTTTCTCCGACGGAATTAAGGAGGTGTGAGTGAAGAGTCGAGGAAGAAGTCCAGGTAGCGAGTGGAGGGAGAGGCGAAGGCGAGACCCCGCGGGGCGTTTGGCGGGCATCCCTCTCCTCCCGGGACCCCCGTCCCTTCTTCCCAGCCATGAGCGCCTGCCTGGCCTCCGGGGGCTTCGGCACCTTCGACTACCTGGTCTTCGCGGCCATGCTGCTCATCTCGGCCGGGATCGGGGTCTACTACGCGGTGGTGGGCAGGCAGGACACCTCGGCGGACTTCCTGATGGGCGGCCGGAGCCTGACGGCGCTCCCGGTGGCGCTCTCCCTGACGGCCAGCTTCATGTCGGCCGTGACGGTGCTGGGCACCCCCTCCGAGGTCTACCGCTTCGGGGCCATGTTCAGCGTCTTCGCCCTCACCTACGCCTTGGTGGTGATCCTCAGCGCCGAGATTTTCCTGCCCGTCTTCTACCGGCTGGGCGTCACCAGCACCTACGAGGTGAGGCGCCCCCCAAGCTCCCTCCCTCCCTCCCTCCCTCCAGGGCGCACCAGCCTCAGCTACCAGCATTGTCCATAGCCACCTCCAAGATCATGTGGCCGGCATGACTGCATGGAGCCGCTTTACCTTCCCGCAGAAGCGGTACCTATTTATTTACTCATATTTGCATGTTTTCGAACTCTAGGTTTGCAGAAGCTGGTGCTAACAGAGGGAGCTCACCCTGCTCCCCAAATTTGAACCACCAACCTTTCGGTCAACAAGTTCAGTAGCTCAGCGGTTTAACTTACTGCTCCACTGGGGGCCATATATAGTAGTAAAGGTAAAGCAGAGGCGGGCCAAGGTAATTTACAATGGTAAGCAAACAGTATTTTGCCCCCCCCCCCAACTCAACCAATCATTGATATATATTTTCTGTTCGTCATGGGAGTTCTGTGTGCCATATTTGGTTCAATTCCATCATTGGTGGAGTTCAGAATGCTCTTTGATTGTAGGTGAACTATACATCCCAGTAACTACAACTCGCATATGTCAAGGTCTATTTTCCCCCAAGCGTCAAGAGCACCCCTGGGCAAAATCAACTATACTGCAAATGCTTACTGTACGTAATGGGTTGAGCGCCCCTGAGGTAAAGGTTTTCCCTTGACATGAAGTCCAGTTGTGTCCGACTCTGGGGGTTGGTGCTCATCTCCATTTCTAATCCAAAGAGCCGGCATTGTCCGTAGACACCTCCAAGATCATGTGACCAGCATGACTGCATGGAGCACCGTTACCTTCCAGCCGGAGCAAATGTGCATAGATCAATAGGTACCACTCCAGCAGGAAGGACTCGACTAGACTTAATGTCAGTGGAAACCTTTCCCTTTACTATGTCTTCTAATAGCAGCTTTCACACTAGATAGCACAGTGGGTTAAAGCACTGAACTGTTGAACTTACTGACCAAAAGGTCACAGGTTCAAAATCCTTCCTTTTTTCTTTTTCTTTTTCCTTCCTCCTTTCTTCCTGGAGAAAGTTTAGCTGGGAGAAGAGAAGGTAGAGAGGGAACATGAGAACCATGTTGCAAGATTTTAAAAGGTGTCCCATTGAGAAGGAATGAGGGGGAAATTGATTTTCTGCTTCTCTAGAGACCAGGGCACGAGGGAGAAATGGGTTCAAATGGCAGGGAAAGAGATTTCTTCCTGAGAGTAAAAGCTGCTGGAGAATGGCATAGGCTGCCTGGGAGTGTGGTGGAGTCTCCATCTCGGGAGGCTCTTTCACAGAGGCTGTCTATTGGGTGCTTTGATTGTGCCTTCCTGTATGGCAAGGGGTTGGACTGGATGACCCTTGGGGGTCTCTTCCAGCTCTGCGATTCTATATCAGGAGTAGGCAGCAGGGAGGGGGCTTGGGGAGAACCCATTCCCTCCCGGCTGCCCACCCTGCTGTGGCCTCAGGGGCGGCTCAACCCATTACGCAAAGTAAGCATTTGCAATATAGTTGATTTTGCCCAGGGGGCTCTTGAGGCGCTCTTGGGGGAAAATAGACCTTGACATATGCGAGTTGTAGTTACTGGGATGTATAGTTCACCTACAATCAAAGAGCATTCTGAACTCCACCAATGATGGAATTGAACCAAATATGGCACACAGAACTCCCACAACGAACAGAAAATATATATCAATTACTTAGGGCCGCCTCTGTGTGGCCCCCAAGTTAGAAAGTTTGCTCATGCCTGCCGTATATTAAGTCCAGTTGTACCATCTCTAGGGGTTGGAGCTTATCTCAATTTCTAAGCCAAAGAGCCAGAGGGCCAATGCAATGTCATTACAGCCTGGTCGGTGCTCCAATTTGGCCCCCCAGATGTTAGGGAAGGGCAGCTCCCACCACTTTGGATTCTCCACCATACAGACCACATAAACCAGGGTGTCAATCTTTTTATTGAGGGTCACACCAGCCTTTTGTGTGCCTTCAAAGGGTGATTGAATCCATGGATGGAGAATCAGTGGATAGGCAGGGCCTAAACTGTCAGCCCCAGCTTCTGTCAACCTAGCAGTTCGAAAAGATGCAAATGTGCATAGATCAATAGGTACCACTCCAGCGGGAAGGTAATGGAGCGGTACCTATTGATCTACTCACATTTGCACGTTTTCAAACTGCTAAGTTGGCAGAAGCTGGGGCTAACAGCGGGAGCTCATGCCGCTCCCCGGATGAAAGGGAGGAAGAGAAGGATGGAAGGAAGGGATGAAAGGAATGGAAGGAGAGAGGAAAGAGAAAAGGAAGGGAAGACAAAAAGAGAAAGAAGGAAGGAAGGAAGAAAGGAGAAAGAGGGAGGGAGGGAGGAAAGAGGGAAGTGAAGGAAGAAGGGAGGGAGGAAGAAAGAGGGAGGTAAGGAAGGGAGGGAGGGAAGGAGGAAGGAAGGAAAAAGAGAAGGAAGGAGAGGATGGTGTGAGAGAGGAAGGGCTGAGAAAATAGCCCAAGGGGCTGCATCTGCCCCCCGACACCAGGCCTCATGCCCACTTTATAGCCTGTCTGTGCTCTTCAGTTTGGCCCCCCAGTTGTTATTGAAGGGCAACTCCCACCACTTTTGATTATCCACCATACAGACTACATAAACCAGGGTGTCAACCTCCTTTTTATGGAGGGCCGCACCAGCCTTATGCCTGCCTTCAAATGGCTATTGAATCCGTGGATGGAGAATCAGTGGATAGACAGAGCCTACTATATAGGCCCCATCCAGTTGCTGGACTACAACTCTTGCATTCCTTGACTGGAGTTGATGGGAGTTGTGAAGCAATTATATCTGGAAGGCTTGTAGCCCCCGTAGAGAAATGGGTTAAACTCTTATGCCAGCAGGGCTGCTGACTGACAGATCAGAGGTTCGAATCCAGAGAGAGCGGATTGAGCTCCCTCTGTCAGCTCCGTTTCCCATGCAGGGACATGAGAGAAGCCTCCCACAAGGATGGTAAAATGTCAAAAAACATCTGGGCATCCCCTGGGCAACATCCTTGCAGATGACAAATTCTCTCACACCAGAAGCAACTTGCAGTTTCTCAAGTTGCTCAAGACATGAAAAAAATGTGGAAGGCTGCCATTTAGTCTTTTTAGTCAGGAGAGTAAGGCTTGAATTGAGGCACAAGGCTTGTGGCTAGAATGCCTGACTTTAAAATGTCCTTTCGCCTTTTCCCTAAGTCAGAGCTACAAGTGGTGTTGGATTGCAATTCTTATTATCCCCAGTCTGCATGATGGATAATCAAAAGTGGCAGAAATTGCTGTTCAATAATATTTACTCAAATTGGGCAAAAGGCTAAAGAGCACTGACCATTATGTAAAAAATATACATTGGTGGGTCAAAAAGTTTTGCCTCCTGTGTCATAAAAAATATGATGAGTGAACATATAGCAGCAGAAGTTGCTACAGATCATAGCCTGAAGTGTATGGCCATGTTCCAGAAGCATTCTCTCCTGACGTTTCACCCACATCTATGACAGGCATCCTTGGAGGTTGTGAGGTCTGTTGGAAACTAGGGAAGAGAGGTTTATATATCTGTGGAATGGCCAAGGTGAGGAAATAACTCTTGTCTGCTTGAGACAAGTGTGAATGTTGCAATTGGCCACCTTGATTAGCATTCAACAGCCTTGTAGCTTCAAAGACTGGCTGGTTGCTGCCTGGGGGGAATCCTTTGTTGGAAGGTGTTAGCTGGCCCTGATTGATTCTTGTCTGGAATTCCTGGTTTTTGAGTGTTGTTCTTTATTTACTGTCATGAGTCTAGATTTTTTTAAAATACTGGTAGCCAGATTTTGGGCTAACATGTTGGATAGTTTATTTACCATACAGATTAAAACCCAGACTCAGTAGCTACCACTTGAAGAATGTTTACCATGAATACTTCATACATAATCCAAGGTGCTGTAGGCTGTATTTCAGAGGAAGGAACTGTCAAAACCATTTCTGACAACTCCTTGCCTAAGAAAACTCCATGAAAGTCAATAGAGGCACTCCCTCACAATGTGTATGTACAATAGGAGGCAGAAGAAATGTCTGGCTGAATAGGATCCAAACAATAGTCAACAAACAAACAGAGAACCTCTTCCAGCCTAATATTAATATTACCTCCTCCAATAAGACACATCAAAATCCACATTAGAGTGGTATCTTATAGCTTGACTGAAAGGTGGAAAAATATTGCGCAAGCTTCTGAGTTTGTTGTCAAAGGCTTTCATGGCCGGAATCACTGAGTTGCTGTGAGTTTCCCAGACTGTATGGTTATGTTCCAGAAGCATTCTCTCCTGACATTTTGCACATATCTGTGGCAGGCATCCTCAGAAGTTCTGAGGTTTGCTGGAAACTAGGCAAGTGTGGCATGTCCAGGGTGGAAGAAAGAACTCTTTCTGTTTGAGGCAAGTGTGAATGTCATACTTGGCCATCTTGATTAGCATTCAATGGTCTTGCAGCTTCAAAGCCTGGCTGGTTGCTGCTAGGGATCCTTTATTGGGAGATGTTAGCTGGCTCTGATTGTTACTTGTCAGGAATTCCCCTGTTTTTTTTAGGGTTGCTCTTTATATACTGTCCTAATTTTAGAGTTTTTGAATACTGGTAGCCAGATTTTGTTCATTTTAATGTTTTTTTTTCTTTCTGTTGAAATTGTTGACATGCTTGTGGATATATAAACCCCAATTGCCTAGTTTCCAACAGACCTCACAATCTCTGAGGATACCTGCCATAGATGTGGGTGAAATGTCAGGAGAGAATGCTTCTGGAACATTGCCATACAGCCCAGAAATATAGCTTGCATCATCTTGGATTATGTATTAAGTAACCCGGGAGTTGGATCCCTCTCAAAAAATTACTGGGAAGTAGGAAGTCCCAAGTAGCATTCCCAGTTCCTTCCTGGCAAAGATTAATTTAAACGTCTGCATCACTTTCCACTTTAAAATTGTGACAAGAAGTAAACTAATGGCTTTTCTCCCCTCTCATAGTTTTAATATTTTTGTTGTGAAGTTCTGGAAAATTGAACAGCTAGTGTGTTATTTGTGATATTTCAGTTGGCCTTTAAAAAAAAAAAAGCATTATCCTAATAATGGGTTTTTAAATTGTTCTCTTTGCCTACATGTTTACTTTTTTCCAAGAAGACATTATATCTCCTTCCAAAATTATATATATCTTTCTATAAATGACAAATGTGTTTCTTGCAGTACTTAGAACTGCGATTTAACAGGTATCTGCGCCTGTGTGGGACTGTGCTCTTCATTTTACTGACGGTAAGGAATTGTATTTGCATGTTACTTAATAATGGAAGTTTCTAATCTAAACTCGATTTTTGTAGTTAGTTCTGCTAGACTGGCAAAGAAAGTTAATTTATTCTCTAGTGTAAATAATGACAGCTAGTGTGATGGTGTGAGTTTTGGAATAGAACTCCAGGAAACCAGGATTCAAATCCTCTCTCAGCCATGGAACAATAATAATAACAACAATTGTTTATATCCTGTACCCTCTCCCTGAAAGGACTCAGTGTGGCTCACAACATACATAAATACAGTAAATAATATATGCAAAATAAAAGACAAGTCAATAAAGGAGAAAGGAAAATAAGATGAAGAAAACAGGTTAAACAATAAACAGTCAAACACGTTACTTAAAACACAGTTATTCCAATAAATTAAATAAAACCCCACATAACTGAGTATATCCATTGAACAAAGACCTCATCCATATTAAGGGGATGTTACTAATCATTTTCAAAGGCCTGTTTGAATAGCCAGGTCTTCAAGTCCTTCTTAAAAGATGAAACATATTGGGCTACTTTGGACAAGACACACTTTCTCAGCCTCAAAGGATAGTAATGGTAAATCTCCTCTGAAGAAATCATGCCAAATAAACCCAATGATCGATTCATCTTAAGAGTCTTCAAAAGTTTGAAATAAAGGCAACAAACAACAATTCTATAATTATTGCAAAATCAAATTGATTTTAGAAACTTCAGGCATGAAACTGTGAACAAGTTATATGATATTGCCTAATTTTGAAGTGGCAAAAGAAATAGCTAAGTAGCAGAGACTTCTCACACATTATAAAACACAGATCCCATGTAAACAGAAGAGGAGGGAGCTTTGAGTACAGGAGTTGATTATAAATTGTATGATTTTAACTGTAATTGTGTTTAGATTGGCTGCAGTAATGCTGGAGCGGCCTAAGTCAGAGGAGTCCTCCATGTGCGTTGCCATGGAGACCGATGCAGGAGAGAGGGAAGTGGGAGGAGCTTAGAGGGGAGAGTTTGAAAAAACGACAGTTAAAAAATCAGTTAGGGTTTAGGTTTAGAGGAGTGAGCAGTCAGGAGTTAGGTTCAGAGGAGTGAGGAGTGAGGAGTTGGAAGAGAAGGAAAGGAAAGGTGGCGGAGTGACTTGCGAAGCAAAATTTTGAGGCTTTGAAAAGCTGGGTTTGGCTATTGGAAGTTTCTCAGGCTAGTGCAGCCAAATGGTGAAACATAGCTGGAATTCTTTTAGTCTAAGGAGAGGCTAAAGAATAGTTTACTTAGTATTTGATCTAGGGAGGATCAACTAAGGGAAACATCCCTGTATGGAAACTTTGTCTGAAACAAGTGCTCTACGTCAAAAAGATACTGTGTTACTAGAAAGAATGAACTTTTAAAGTTACAAGTATTGTTCCAAGTGCAACAAGGAAAAGTTACGTCTTGCAACCACACACTGTGCACTTAATGAAATTGTTAACTTTTATTTGAAGATTGCTTCAGCTCCGTCTATTCTGTGTACCAAGTGCCATTTCTCACAATATTACAACTTACCTCACGTGGTGGCAGAAACGTAGGGAAAAGTAACCAAATAAATCTACATTCTTCTCTCCAGTCACGCTACAGTATATACAGTGTAATTACTACTAAGTTATTACTTTCTTAATAAAGGAGGAGGTGCAATTGAACAGCCTCCCTTCCAACTTGATGGTAAATTTGGTTCCTAATCGGCAACCGCCATTGCAAATCGGCCAGTTCTTTTTAAAATTGGGAACTGGGGTAAAATCTCCTGAATACTGGTTCCTTTCAAATTGGTGGCAACAATAAATCATCCCTCAGCTCCCTTGCTTCTTTTCAGAGTGAAACATGATACGCGTACAGTAGCTGGCTGCCACTTGAGAGCTCTGCATTGCTAAGCAGCACTTTCTCTAGATTCAGGAATTTCATAGATTCTGCTGCAGAAACTCTTATCTGCATCTCAGCTGAGTAGCCAAGAGTGCAGCAGCAGTTAGGGATTTCATGAGGTGCACTTCAGCTGACAATGCTTGAGAGAGAACTTAAGCAGACACTTAGGAAGATTATAAGCTAGTAACTATGGAGAGAGTTGTAATGTGCTTTCTTTATGGGGAGAGCTGTAATGTGCCTTGTGAACCTCCAGAAGTTTCAGCTAGTGTGGAATGTACTGGCTTGGATGCTGGTGGGGACTACATATAGATTGCATTACATTAATTTGGTGACTGTTACACTAGTGTCTGAGATCAATACAAAGCGGTGGCATTGATATTTAAAGATTTAAGTGCTTTGGGTCTGTAATAAGGGGACTTGCAGTGGTGGCTGATTGTTTCCATATCAGAATCATCACTCCTAGAATGTAGTCATAGGATCACAGAATCATAAAGTTGGAAGAGACCTCATGGGCCATCCAGTCCAAACCCCGGCCAAGAAGCAGGAAAATTGCACTCACAGCACTTCTGATAGATGGCCATCCAGCCTCTGTTTAAAAGCCTCCCAAGGAGCTTCCACCACAATCAATCTACATTAGGTTTTAGTCTAGCCTTTAAAGGAGCTATCCAAGGTGCTGAACCCTACCACCTGTAAAGTTTGGGCTAAAATCACTGTTATATAGACATCAGATACAAGCTGCCATTGAGTACCTGCCAGAAATAAGTAAATCACTAGAAACCTGCTGGGAGAAATAACAGGAAAGATTCTCCTCATTGTACTGAACTCAACCTTCACTTTTACCTGCTGGCTATATATACCCTTAAAACGCTAGCTATACTCCTACTTTCTGTTCTTATCATGTTGGTCATACAAAATGAATGTTAGTCTAACATAAGTACAGCTCCATTAACAGCATTTTCATTGAGCTCCAGTTATGCTATTTTGGATGCAGGAGCGAATGCCATTTTTACATAGTATATGATTTGGGGCATGTGGGTTTGCCTGCATTAGTACATATTGATGTGAAGTAAGTCTTTTCACTTTAGATTATTTTACATTGCCAAGAAATATTAAAAAAATAAAAATAAGAATCACAGCCATTGTGAAAATTGGAAAATATGAATATATGTGTTTTTTTGTCAATTAACTTTTCAGTGCAATGATTTATGCTTATGTTTGATTTTTGTCTTCTCTTTCCAGACATTATACACTGGTATCGTCATTTATGCCCCTGCCTTAGCTTTAAATCAAGGTATGGTAAATCAATGAATGGTAACATATCAGAACCATTTTTTGATACCTATACAATGTATCATCTCATGGATAATCTGTTATGAAGACTTCAAATATTCCTGCAGATGTTAGCAGAAGTTGTACAACTTCCATTATATCATCAGAACAAAAAGTTTTGAGTGTCTGCTGAAGTGATTCCCAGCTAAATTCTAGCTTCAGCTTTGCAAGTTAACACAACTTAATTAATGCTATACTATGTGCTTTCAGACCAGTTACAGACAGTCTCTAAGTTGCAAACAAGATGGGTTCTATAGGTTTGCTCTTAAGTTGAATTTGTATGTAAGTCAGAACAGGTGCATTTTAAAAGTGCATCTCCAGGATACATATATGTGTGTGTATATGCTTTGGGTAGCATGGGGAAGGGTTAACACTGCTGTGGTGTTTGTTCTGCTATCTGTGGAAGATTTCACCTCACTTTCTGTGCCTGTGATGATTGGAGTTTTGAAAAAATTGACTTGTTGTGGAAACAAGGATTGGGGATAAAACTTAAATGGAGACACCTTTTCTCCATGGTAATAACTCTTCCAGAAGTAAAATTCTTTTCTGATGGGCAGATTTTTCTCACTTCCAGTTGTTGCCGCTCCTTTTTAACTATGAGTCATGTGTAAGTTGGAAGTTTGTAACTTGGGGAGTGCCTGTATTGATAAGCTGTGGCCTACTGACTGCACTTGGTCCCCGTTTTTGTGCCTCCCACCCTCAGTATCCCAAAGTATTATTATTCACACAATAAGTGATTCTTACTGAAAGATTTGAGGAGTCATTATATTGCTCTGGAACAGGTTGCAGACTATGCAGACTCAGAACAAAAAAAACCCCTAAAAATAAAACCCAGATCAAAACCACATGTGAACATTTGGTCTCTTCAGCTTTGTTTTATTGCTTACCTTTTGATTAGCATGCCTGAATAGAATGTTGTGGGTGGAGAATTGGCTCATGGCCTCTCTAAAGTTGCCCACTTCTACTTTAAAATAATTCTAGACGCTGTGGCTATGTTTGCTGTACACACAATAATATGGTCTACAGCTGTGAAAATAATTGTTGCTAGAACATATGAATATCTAAGCAGTGGTTCTCAACCTGTGGGTCCCCAGATGTTTTGGCCTTCAACTCCCAGAAATCCTAACAACTGGTAAACTGGCCTGGATTTCTGGAAGTTATAGGTCAAAACACTTGAGGACTCACAGGTTGAGAACCACTGGCTGATGGGGAGAGGAAGTGCATAAGATTTGCTGATATTTGATCATTTTTTGCACAATGACTGAGCAAGGTCAGGGTATAGTATTGCAAGCCCTGTGTTATAGAGCTAGATAATAAATATAAGTTGGTGGACTAGAATAATCTAGAATTTTGCTTCCAGACGGAGCAACTCAAGTGCATAAGAATATTATCATTACATTACATAAGTGCATTATCATCACATAGGTGATGATAATGATGCCCTTCTCTTTATTGTTTGTTGCTAGCATCTGTTACACTTGCCCCTTAACATGGAGAATTAGTATGGTTCATACAGCCTGTTGTGTGAACTTGCTCTCTGGGCACAGTTCCAAACAGGCCTCTATGGATGCGCCTTTTAGAAGCCATATGTTAATCAATTAACTCCTGATACTCTACCCAGGGTCTTTGTATCTATTGCTGAAACAATTAAGTAAACAGCTGCTACTGTGAAAGTAGTTGTTTCTTCTTTTTTGAAAAACAAACAAACATTCTTCCCCTTGTTTTTTCCCTAGTTACAGGAATGGATTTGTGGGGAGCTGTGGTTGCAACAGGAGTAGTCTGTACTTTCTATTGCACACTGGTATGTTTGCATTTCATTTTAAAACTTACTGGTTTCCTTTTAACCTTTAATTGTTGCATATAAATATTTACAAATGCAGTGCCATCTTTCATTTAATGATGTTTCCTCAATGCTTCCTTCCTTTTCCTTGTATGCAAATAATTCAACCCTATCTCTCTCTGAAACTTTTCATCTAAGTTCTTCATTAAGTTGGCAGTTTGACTCTGCGAGACAGGGTGAGCTCCTGTCTGTCAGCCCAGCTTCCCATGCAGAGACATGAGAGAATCCTCCCACAGGATGGTGACACATCTGGATGTCTCCTGGGCAACGTCCTTGCAAACAGCCAATTCTCTCACACCAGAAGCGGCTTGCAGTATATTCTCAGGTCGCTTCTGAAATGATAAAAAAATTAAGTTCATTCACAGTTTAATGAGACCAACAATATTTAACAATTAAAACACACATTTTTTTCTCTAAGTGTTAGGATATGTATCTGATAACATGAGACATCATCTATTAATTTTACCATTATGTATTATTTCCAAATGCCTATGCACTAAATGAGGAGTCAATTCAGGACTTGATTGCAGGACTCTTCTGCTCATGCTTCTCAGTATTGTTGCAACATTTCATGCTAGCTTAAAGCTCTATTCTAGCTGTCAATCTCAAATACTATATAGAAATAACACTGCAAAGAAGGGCCTATTCTTGATTGGTGGAGAACTGGAATAGAAAGGATGTGCCTACTGCAAATCTTTTCTATTGCAGTTCTCCATCATTCAGAACAGCCGCTTCCTTGGGGTTTTCCTACCCAGACCAATATTCATAGGGGTTACATAAGCATCATTAAATCCATTTTGGTTTCAGACATTTAACAGACAAGCACAAAAATCACAAAATATGCAGACTTGGAGATCTTTCAAGATCTCTAAGTCAGACAGGATGATACCAAAAAAGCAAAGCCTAGGTGATGGAGAAGAAAGGCAACATAAGGGGCTGGGAGAGGAAGGCATTTTTAAATGCATGGTCTGTTCTAAGATGAAATGGGGAGTTACAGACATTTGTCTTGTGAAGTGATAGTCTTGCAGCGGGAGCTGTCTTTAGATCTTCAGGAAGGAGAAAACAATTTTTGCCAATCACTAGAAAATAGACCTATAGGCATTGCATTATTATTACTTGTTATTACACCCTAAACCTAAAGACACCAAATTCAGTCTGTTGTTGGAAGCTAAGCAAGGCCAGCCCTGGTTAATGCTTGCATAGGAGACTTCCAAGGAATACCAGGTGCTGTGTGCTATATGTCAGAGAAACCCAATTCTGAGTTTCCTTTGATTTACAAAACTGTACAAAAATCATGGGGTCAGCATATATTGACAGGCAACTTCACTTTACTTCACTTTATTTCTTGAAGACAGACACACTGGTATTATTGTACATTATTTGGTTCACTGCTGTTGTGGAGAAACTGAAAACTGGAATGGCCTGGCTAGTAAAAAGGATTAATCAGGCTGCTTACCGGAGTAGTGCACAGAGAGCATACAACCCCACTGCTGTGTCAACTTCACTGGTTGCCAATCTGCTACTGAGCACAATTCAGAGTGCTGGCTTTAACCTATAAAGCCCTAAATGGTTCTGGCCCAACTTACCTGTCCTAACTTATCTTCCCACCATGAATCAGCTAGAGTGACAAGATCTGCTGGGGAGGCCCTGCTCTCTATCCCATGCCCCTCTCAAGCACGACTGTTGGGATGCGAGACAGGGCCTTCTCAGTGGTGGCCCCTCAGATATGGAGCTCCCTCCCCAGTGACATTAGATTGGCCCTCTTCCCTCCTGATGTTCAGGAGAAAGCTAAAGACCTGGTTTTGGAACCAGACATTCGGGGAGTAGTGTTGTTGTTTATTTGTTCAGTTGCATCCAAGCCCATGCCAGTGCTCCCTGTTGGCCATCACCACCCCCAGCTCCTTCAAGGACAAGCCAGTCACTTAAGGGTAACATCCATCCATCTTGCCCTTGGCCGGCCCCTCTTCCGTTTTCCTTCCATTTTCCCAAACATCATTGTCTTCTCCAAGCTTTCCTGTCTTCTCATTATGTGGCCAAGGTACTTCATCTTTGCCTCTAATATCCTTCCCTCCAGTGAGCAGTTGGGCTTTATTTCCTGGAGTATTGACTGGTTTGATCTTCTTGCGGTCCAAGGCATTCTCAGAATTTTCCTCCAACACCATAATTCAAAAGCGCCTATCTTCCTTCGCTCAGCCTTCCTTATGGTCTGCGGGGAGTAGTGCAATATGGAATATGCAATATGGAACTCGACTTAGATGCAGCACCATGAATAACGACTTGGGACTAGGCGTTATGTTTTAATCTGTATTAATTGTATTTATATGTTTTATTGGTTTTATTACTTAATATGTTGTATTTTTCTATTTGTATTTATAATGGGGCATTGAATTTTTGCCTTATCTGTAAGCCGCTCTGAGTCCCTCTTGGGGTGAGAAGAGCTTGATAGAAATATAGTAAATCAATAAATAGTAAATAAATAAGCTTTCTTTCTGAGGCTGTCCCTTCCAATGTTTCTTTTTAGATCAAGAAATTATGTGTCTTGTACATTAATATCTATTTACATTTCTCCACACAGGGTGGTCTCAAAGCAGTAGTTTGGACAGATGTTTTTCAAGTCGGAATAATGATTGCTGGATTTTCAGCTGTTATTATACGAGCAATAGTTGTTCAAGGTGGCATTGGACGTATATTAAATGATTCCTACCACGGAGGAAGGTTAAATTTTTGGAAGTAAGTTTTTTTTAGTGGTGATATTAACGAAATCTGAAACACAGTATTGGTTTTATGTCTCATTGTAATAACTGACCCTTGTTTCTAGCAATATGTAGGAAAACGTTATTGCTGATGTTTATGGAATGAAGCATAAACAATTGCTTATTTTTCAATGTTAAACTTTTGCTTAATTTAGTAGAAAGCTATAATTCATGTCTTTTTGGGTGATGCTGCCAAGCTTCCAGGTGGGATTGAAATAAATTAATGGAAAGCCAGCTATTTTTCACAGCCATCTTTTATCTAATAGATAGTTCCATCAACAGAAAGGAAAGGGCTCGTTTGAGTGGCTCGGCCCTCCACACATCACCTATTACATTGAGGAATTTTGAGCAAATAACTGAATGTGAACCTGAAAAGAAAATGTTAAGTTCTATGTTTTCTTCTTTTAATTTAGCTTCAATCCTGATCCTTTGCAAAGGCACACATTCTGGACAATTATTGTTGGTGGGACTTTCACCTGGCTTGGTATATATGGAGTTAGCCAGTCACAGGTTCAGCGATACATTGCTTGCAAAACTAGATTTCAAGCAAAACTGTAAGTATATTTGTTATTCTGACCTGTTACTGCAATCATTTCATTACAAGTTTTATTTCCAATTTCACTTGACATAAAAAACATATAGAATTCTAATAATGAAAGAAAAAGGCATATCATGATTTCTGTATTGTGATCTATGTCAAAAGTATATACATTCCAATCATATATAGCAACTGCTAATGTTATATTACTTTTTTTACAGCCTAGCAGCAAAGGTATTTGGACTTGAATGAATTAAAATAGTCCTTATAGTTGGATGCATATAAAGATCAAAATAACATTATGGAGCTATCAGACTTGAGTAAATTGTCTTTGGGTAGAATGAGAGACGCCACGAACTGTAGAATTTGTAAGCCTATTGATTTGGAGAAACTTATCCCGTCCTGAAACTTATACTTGAACATTGTATTTTCCATTTCATTGCATGGTACTGTTGGAAGAAATTGACACTGAACCAATTGTAATTATGTAATTAATTAATCTAGGCCTTAATCCAAGTCTGGATTGTAGAAGAATAAAGTATTATCTTTTTCTCTGCTGATGCAGTCTTAGCTTTTGCCACTGCTATTCTGTCTGTTTGTCATGGGTATTTCTGCTCTAGAGACTCAGGCCCCTTCTACACTGCCATATAATTGAGATTATCAAAGCAGAAAATCCACATTATCTGCTTTAAACTGGATTATATGAGTCTACACTGTCATATAATAGAGTTCAAAGCAAATAATCTGGATTTTGTATGGCAATGTAGAAGGGGCCTTGACTCTGAATCCAAACATTCCTGCTCTTTGTTTTCTGTCTTTGCTTTCTGTTAGGACAACACTTCCTGTTCTATCTGTAAATGTGCCTTCCCAGATTAGGAAATCTCCACTACCAAGTCCCATAAGCACTTTACTAGAACTAAGGATTGCTGCACACCGCACATTGCACTTGCCCTATAAGCTTTATATATACCACCTGTCACATCAGCACTTTTAATCTTGTACCCATTACTCTGGCCCGGCCCAGTTTTATTGTGTTTTAGTGTATTGTTTATTGCCTGTTGTTCATTTTGTTTTATTTTGCTTTAATTGTTTTAAGTTGCTTAGATTGTATTGTTATATTGTGTGTTGAGGCCTTGGCCTGTGTAAGCCGCATCGAGTCCTTCGGGAGATGCTAGCGGGGTACAAATAAAGTATAATAATAATAATAATAATAATAATAATAATAATAATAAATCTTTGATGTGAGTTTCTCTCACAACACCTTTTGCTAGTCTTTTTTATTTTCAAAGGTTATCTTTTAAAATTACAGAATTTATTCTAGAATAGCAGCCATTGTCTTTATAAGTATATATGCCACCCAATAGCTGATGATGCTACTGCAAACCAAAGCCAGATTTAAATAGATGAACAGTCTTGTCATCCTAGTAACAACCTTGTAAGTCTTCGAGTTCCAAATTCCAAATGTACAGGTATGTTGATACTGTGGCAGAGACAGACAAACATTCTTTTTTCTTATATACGTACTTGCAAAGTTTTTTTGTCTCGTACAGAACATATAATAATAAGGAATCTTCTTTAATATTATATAGATTATAATGCATAGTGTTATATGTATTATTATTATACATTGCCTGGATGTTGATGGGACCACTGGTCATGTACTTTCTCTCTTCTCCAGCTCTGAGAAGGCCTGCCTCACAATGATTCTGTGGCTCTTTCCTCCCTCCCTCCTTTTCCCCTCATACACAGGTCACCTTTCTTTCCCAATGAGATCAGAGGACCACTTCACCTAGGTCCCTTCCACACAGCTGAAAATCCCACATTGTCTGCTTTGAACTGGAATATATGGCAGTGTGGACTCAGATAACCCCATTCAAAGCAGATATTGTGACATTTTCTGCCTTGATATTCTGGGTTATATGACTGTGTAGAGGGGTCTTAAGTAACAGCTTTTGTGGAACAAACATACATCATACATACATACTTTTATATATATACATATACTTATTATTCCATTGTATGCATTTCATCAGAGGATAGTTGTTATTGTGTAGGAGATGAAACTAACAAAAATAACAACACATAATATCAATTATTTATGATATTCATTACCAAAACATGTTTATATAAAGATGTCTGTCTTTTACCAATATAAGCACATTTTTGAAATATGAAAAGAACTTTGTAAAGAGCATAACATGTATGCAATACATAATAAAATTGTTTATATAAACCAGTGGTTCCTAATCTTTTTAAACCAGGGACCACTTGACCAGGGGCCACTGTCCAATATTAGTACCAAAAGGGTTACAAATCAGTTTTTGGTCAAATTTAGATGCAGCTTGGTTATTTAGGGTGCTGAGTCAGAAAATTGCATTTGATAGACCATATCAGCTCTAGTTTCTGATACAGATGTATGTCATCCAGTAGTCGCCATCTGCTTGCCCACAGAAAACCATATTTAATATGCCTTGGTACTATAAGAATGTTTCACAAGACCAGTCGCTCTCATTGCAACGGTGTAGTAACAGTGATGCCACAGACCATATTTAAGTGCTTGTGGACCACTGGTGGTCCATGGGCCACAGGTTGGGAACCACTGATATAAACATTGCTGGTGAAATACCACCTTGTGTTCAGACTTTTCTCAATTCATTTGAGCTAGAAATCAGATAAATTGGGCATATCTTAATTTGTTTTATCAAAGAATAGAACTTAAATCTTGTTAATTACGCAAAGGAATTTCTTACACTTACCTAGATAGAATTATATGGGGTTGTGGCTGAACTAGCTATAAACGTTTGCAGTTAATATCTGATGTGCTGTGCCCAGTTTATCTGATATGGGCAGATTATTGAAGATTTACCTTCAAGTTTCTTTGATTTTATTGCCATTCTTCTAAATGTACACATTTCTGTGTTATTTTTAAAATATGCATACCCTTATATAAAGTGTTCTTGTGTTTTCCCCCCAAATGTCCACATTTTGTCACACGTTTTTAAAAATTTATGTTTATTGCATGCATATTTTTGTTTATATATTGAATTATACATCTGATCTTTGTACTCACATCTACGGCCACTTCCATACAGTCCCACATTATCTACTTTGAACTGGAATATATGGCAGTGTGGACTTAAATAACACAGATATCGTGGGATTTTATTGCCTTGATATTCTGAGTTATATAACTGTGTGGAAGGGCCCTATGTTAAATCCCAGAAAGTACAAACCAGGATAAATTTTACCTAAAACAAATTGAAACAAAACTCTTTTCCATTGCTAGTACCTATTCTGTGTATGTGCAAGGTCATTAGAACGGTTGTTAACATCTTTAGTTAAGATTATCTTAGGTAACAAGTCTATTCTCAGAGAATCAAATATACTTGCTTAGATGAACCACTGACTTGACTTAGTATGAAGTAGCTTTATATCACACAAGAAAAATGACACCAGGTTTATGAAAGCATTACTCATGCAAATAAATATTTTGTCAAGTACATGAGACTTTACTGTTGGGCCCATATAATTCTGAGGTGTTAGAAAGAAAGCATAAGAGCAGCAGAGATAATTAAAAGCTACATTTACCATAGGGATTTAAAACAAGATCAGTCTTGCTCAGACAAGTTTCTGTGCCATAACATCACATGTGCTCACACACACACAGCTGAGTGCCAAAAGATTTGCATTGTTCTTAAGGATTCAGTATATTGTCATCTAACAAAGATTTTCTTTTCTTTGGCTGCCAAAGAGGAAGTTAATACAGGTACAGTGCAATACACAATTGCATAATGATACAACACTATGATATTTCCACATATTTACAAGATGAAAAATGATTGCGTTATTATTTCCTTCTAGATCTCTTTACATAAACCTCTTGGGACTGTGGGCAATTCTTTGCTGCGCTGTGTTGTGTGGACTAGCCATGTATTCCATTTATAAGGACTGCGACCCTTGGACAGCAACATGTGTATCAGCACCGGACCAGGTCTAGTATTAAACATTTTTAAAAGCTGGAAGAAATATAAGGGTTATAATTTTGCATTTGAGATGGGATGTTAAGTACTGGATTCACTGGATGGTTTCCAAACTTTTTTGGTCATCGAACCCTTCAAAAGACTCTGTCAGGTGGAGTCCTAATTCTAACCTTAAGGACCGTCAATACACAAAGTTCTTCATTATTCATATACTCTTATTGCCTGGGTGTTTTGTATAATGTAGGTTTGGTAATAAAGATATTCAAATTTTAGTTATATCTTCGTATTCTGGATGTTTAAAAAAAATTAAAAATATTTTAAAGATCTTTTGCAGACGTATAATGGGCATGGGCAAACTTGGGCCCTCCAGGTGTTTTGGACTTCAAGGGGGAAAAGGAAAGGGCCTGAGGCTGTTAGGAATGGTGGGAGTTGAAGTCCAAAACACCTGGAGGGCCCAAGTTTGCCCATGACTGTCTTATAATGCTTTTTTAGAACCCTAGGATGGCATGGAACACAATTTGTTAATTGCTGCATTAGATTTATACACAATAATCCTGTTGGAATGAATTATTAGTATAGAATAACTCTAAATATTTAAAGCAATGTCCCCAAATCTTGCCCCTTAGAATCCAAATATTGAATGAAATTTAGGTTGAAGTGTAAAGTGGATGGCTTGAATTTATTCTGCTTTTGAGAAGATGATATAATAGTTAATTTCACACACATTTAGAAGCTCAATTGCCACATCATTTGTTTAAGCTTGGAGATACTGTAAAGGAATGAGAAAACAAATTGTAGTGGAATTAAATGAAGATGATTTTGTAACATATATAGTACAATTGGAATTGTTTCAGCTTATGCCATATTTGGTTCTGGATATCCTGAAAAAGTATCCAGGGATGCCGGGGCTTTTTGTAGCAAGTGCTTACAGTGGAACACTAAGGTGAGTTAATCCCGAATCCAGAGGAGAGAACAAATATGTTCGTAACGGATTCAAATGGCTACCACAACCTGTGATTATCTTAATCAGTGGATTGCTTGCTTTAGACTTCAGGCTAATGCATTTTTTTTGTGAGATAGCCCCATTTACTTTAGCAGGGCTCAATCCTAAGTAAGTACACCTATATCTTAAGGCAATTTATTGATAAGTAAATGTAAAGGTTTACCCTGACATTAAGTTTAATAGTAAGTAAGTATTTCTAAGCCAAAGAGCCGGCATTGTCGGTAGATGCCTCCAAGGTCACGTGGACAGCATGACTGCATGGAGCGCTGTTACCTTCCCGTCAAGATGGTACCTATTGAGCTATTCGCATTTGCATGTTTTCAGACTGCTAGGTTGGCAGAAACTGGGCTTAACAGTGAGAGCTCACCCCACTTTCCAGATTCGAACCCCCAACATTTTGTTCAGCAAGTTTAGCAGCTCAGCAGATTAACCCAATGTGCCACCTATTGATAGGGATTATTTATTTATTTATTTATTTATTTATTTCAAACATATCCCATCCTTCTCATCTCCAAGGGGGGCGGGGGACTCATGGTGGCTCACAATTTGGAACCATTAGATGCCAAACACAACAATTATAATAACAATTACAATTAAAACAATTAGTTAAAACATCAATTATAAAACATCCATTTAAAATTACACAAATCCAAAGTCACAATCTGAGGTCTGTCTATTTTCAGTCACATAAGTCATTTACATTATTATTGCTGCACCTGCTGCTCGAATGCTTGGTCCTCCAACCATGTTTTAAGTTTTTTCCTAAAGGARAGAAGGGAGGGGGCCGATCCAATTTTATTAGGGAGGGAGTTCCACAGACAGGGGTGGGGGCATATCTCTCATCTTCACCAATCACGCTTGCGAGGATGGTGGGATGGAGAGCAGGGCCTCCCCCAACAATCATAACCTTCGAGATGGATCACAGAGGAGGATGCTTTCCTCTCCTTAGAGTTAATGTTAGCATATGCCAATCAAGGATGACATAAAGCAGTGTATCAAGCTGTGTTCCTCCAGATGTTTTGAATTTCAGCTCCCACAATTCCTAACAGCTGGTAAACTTGCTGGGATTTCTGGAAGCTGAAGTCCAAAACACCTGGGGGAACAGTTTGAGAATACAGTAAAAGCACAACTTTTTTGTCCACTGTTAGAATATGTTCTGACATGTCATTGTTAACATGAAAGGCAGGGGGGATATATTATATAGACTTCACAGAAAAATACAGCTGTCTTCTCCCATTTTTATGTAGAAGTGCCTTACTAAGGTTTTAGTCAAAGATCACTTTGATTAGCATAAAATGGTTGTTGAGTACAAAACTTCATCTTTATTGTAGGATATATTATCTTACTTAATTGTCACTATGCTACTTATTTATTGTTGACAATAACAATTCCAGATATTAATATACAAGTTCATAACACCCTAAGCAGGTATGAAAGTAAAATGCACATTGTTTTGTCTCCTTAGTACAGTGTCTTCAAGCATCAATGCTTTAGCTGCTGTGACTGTAGAAGATTTAATCAAACCTTACTTCAAATCACTCACTGAAAAGAAATTGTCTTGGATTTCAAAGGGGATGAGTAAGTCTATAAGTATATTTTTAGTTTATTTTGTCATAACGTACAAAATCTGTTCACATACATAGCTATTTCTGTTGATAGATAGCTAACATTGTGTTAGTAGTTTTTAAAATAAAGATAGAAAATGGCTTTGAATTATAAAGTAGCAAACAACCTCTCAACCTCTGAGGATGCCTGCCATAGAAGTGAGTGAAATGTCAGGAGAAAATGGTTCTGGAACATGGCCATACAGCTCAGAGAACTCACAGCAACCCAGACTAGATGAGAAATATAAGCAATACATGCTGAATAATCCTGCACTTTACAAGGGTTCAAATCTCAGTTAACCTTCAATTATGGCATTATCTCAGTTCTAAAAGACCCCTTGAGACAAACAAGAACTTAACCTTCTGTTGATTTGGCTAGTCCTAAATACAGTACTATGTGCCAGTTTTGTTTTATTTTTGAATCATGAGAGGATATCAAACTATAGAGCAAGCCCTGTAAAAACAAACTACAAATGATGTGCCAAATCAAATCATTTTAAGGATCACTAAGTCCATCTGTTGTTTCTTAATTTGTCCCATAAAAGTGTAATTTGACATATTTGTGTACAACATTCATTTAGGTTTATTTTACGGAGGAGTGTGCATTGCTATGGCTGCATTGGCATCACTTCTAGGAGGTTTGTTACAGGTAGGTGTTTAATCATTTCTTAGTTCATGTCAGTTTGCTCGGGAGATCGGAACAGTCAGTACTCACTCCAGCACTTCCTTATACTCCCTTATACTTCAAATCCCTTTATACTTTAAACTCCTACCATCACAATAGCTTGTAAAGAGGTTAACTGACACATGAGCCTTAAATAATACAACTTAAATTGTATTTAAACCACAGACTAATATTGGAGCATACCTCTGTGATTTTATTATCTCTCAGAACCTGGTGTTCAGGAAGTTGGCACCTCTGTGGAAATCCATGCCAATTAGTTTTGCCAACCATATAGCTCTACTTACTACCATCCCAGTTTCAATTCGAAAGTTCTTTGCTTCCTTTCTTAGGTGGAGGTTGAATTAACAAATTGCAGTGCCTTAAATCAATAGGGTTTAATGAAAAATAAAAGCCAAGTTGTAATTGTAGTTCATTGGCCTTTGTTGGTTTGTTTCAATACTTGTAAGTAAGTAACTTGTTATAAATAATATTGTCTGCAACACATTATTTTTGGGAATATTGACAGTATAACAACTTTCTTTTCCTCAAGGAAGCTAAACAGCTTCACAACATTACTTTATATGTTTGTGACAAATGAAATGTATTTTCTCTTGTGATATTTGAATGCTTTATGGGTATTCAAAGGATATTTTCCTTGCAAATTGTAGGTTGGGGATAGGGATCAACTTATGGTCTGTATGCAGCCCCAAAGCCATTTCTTTGGGCAGTGTACCCTTCCCGCCCTGCTAGTCCCCCATCTGAAAAAACATTATCTGCAGTTTGAAAAGGAGTATTGCATGGATGAAGCAAAAGCTTATTGCCCTTTCTTTGTTCCAGACCACAGCTTCAGATGATTTTTGCCCTGATACATTTTAGAATATATGTTTTTATTGCAAACACCAAATTTAAATCTGCAGGGCAAAAGGACACTTGGCATTAATGATTTGGAGTGGTTGAAATCATTGATGAGGAGAGGGTTAAACATCCCCTCCCCCTATACTTGTTTTATGATCAGCCATATCTTTCTGCACAATATTTATGATAAGCTATGTAAGTTATAAATCACAATGTCTACAAACTAATTTCTTCAGTAATATTGAGATTTAAGCATCCATCTGAATGTATGACATTTCTTCTTCCTCAGGCAGCTCTCAGTATTTTTGGTATGGTTGGTGGGCCTCTTCTGGGACTATTTTCTTTGGGTATCCTTTGTCCCTTTGCCAATCCATTGGTAAGTAGCTACAATTATTTTCCTTCTGTCAGAAAAGCAGCCCAGTATTTGTTTATAGAAATTGTTCCCTGTCTCTGGATTCAGTAAGTTTTTCATTGCATTGTGAGGGTTTTTCATACTGGAAATAGTCCAATAATGATCCCTTTTCCCACAACAGTTCAGTAACCAGTTGAGCTGCAGATGTCTCATAGCAGTTTCTCCTATTAATGATCCATTAGTGGATGCAGTCTGGCTATATTCTCTCTTGTAGGAGAAAGGAATTAAAATGGCAAAGGATGGCATGATTACCTTTTTCCTGTGTCATCATGTCACACTGTTATGACATCACAGCATCATAGCATTATTGTGCTATTACTGCTACAAATACACATATTTTAAAATTATACAAACCAATCATAAAGCAACGGACAGGATACAAGTATCAATAATGGCACAATTGATATAGACAAAAAAATTCCAGTGTAAATGCATTAAAGCATAAACACAAAACGAGTGCCACAGAGCATCAACAAGCAGCTACTTTTATGAGAATGGCTGGAGTGGATTTCACATGGAACCATGCAACATAGGGCGCACCCACACAGGGTGGAAAATGTGCGCCCTTCTGGATTTTAATGTAAAATGCCTCACATAAAAATTTGCCACGAAGTAGGAAAACCCTGCTTTTTGGTGAACTAATTTGATCCTGAATTAGACCTGAATCTTCCTGGAAGACTTGAGTTGAATCGAGTATGGTTGGTATCTGATATGTCACCTCAAAAATCCTCGACTTCTGAGGGGGACAATCCAGACAGCCCTCTCAGGTTTTCTGGGTTTTCCACAAACCTCCCAAAAATCCTTAAAAATAAAAAAATACTTGGCTGGCACTTCCCTGCTGCCCTGCTGCCAGCCCTCTCCTGGCATGTTGAAATGATGTGCCCAGAGAAGTGGGGGAGGAAAATTGCTCCTGCCCCCCACTTCTCCTGGCTCGTTATTTCTACATGCCAGAAGACAGCTGGCAGCAGAGAAATGCCGTCCAGGTAAGTAATTTTTACTTTTTAAGGTTTTTCAGGTGGGGGAGGGGTTGTTAGTGTCTGAGTGCCCTACCAGAAGGTCCAACAGGGCATGTGGACACCCCACTAGAAAAGTATGAGCTTTCTGGGGCATGTGTGGACACTAATCAGCACCCAATTAGGTTTTTTAAAGGAGCAATGTGATAAGGCCTGATAACACAATATGTAGTTTGTTGCTAAAATAATATTCTCTTCTGTTCTTAGAAATCACATGATATAGGAATGATTTTCATTTCCTTTATAATTTGAATGGGATTTGATTTTCTCTTTAATAGGGAGCATTTATCGGTCTCATTTGTGGATTTACTTCTTCCCTTTGGGTTGGAATTGGAGCTCAGATATACCCTCCGCTTCCCAATACCACTATGCCATTAAGTCTCTCGACTGAAGGTTGCAACATAACCAATGCAGGTATAGAAAGTTTCTGGAATGCATCTACAGAAATGTCAGATTCTTTGAATATTCAAGAAACTGAAAGGTATGTACAACATTTATCAGTTGTCAGCCTACATGCTGTCAAATTACACTGTGGGGGCCCATCTATACTGTCATATAACACAATTTGAAATGCAAATGATGTAGAGACTTATTTGAAACAGTATATGAAAAATATCATTTTACAACACATCATTTTCTTCTTTTCTTTAATGTTGTATGCTACATTTGTATCTGCATTTGAATAGTTTCTTGAACAGAGACCTGTTGGAGAACTTCTGGGAAAGGATTGAGGGAGCAATAGGATCAAGAATAAGGACAGGAATAATTGATGCCTCTCTCCTAAATCAGAAACATTTTCTTTATTCATATTGCTATTGGTTTAAAAGTTTTTAATTCAAACATATGAGTTTGAACATTTAGAAACACCCAAATACTTTTTCATAAACCCCAGGTTTAAAATAAAAGCAACTATCCATGAAAATAACACAGTAAATAATGAATGAGGGCTAGTGTTAGCTGCATTTGTGAACTACAAAAAATTCTGTTTTGATTATCTAGGCCGGTCCTTGCAGATCACTGGTATTCCTTATCCTATCTATACTTCAGCACACTTGGAACACTGGTTACAATCGTCATTGGAATAGGAGCCAGCCTTTTGACAGGTATTTCTTCCTGGGTTTTGTTTTTATTGAGGCAGTGATTTGTTTCCAAAAGAAACAGAATTCATAGACTTCTATATACACGGTGATATATGGATTTCAAAAAAGTATCAGGGCATTTTTTTGGGTGCTCTATGCAATCAGGGCAAAAACAAAAAGTTCAGAAATAGTGATTTTTAATGGTTTCTCTTCAAATTGCAGTAATTAATTCATTTAAATCGAAGATCACCAATTGCATGAATTGTCCTTTTTTATTTGGAAAACACACCAGTAGCTCTTTTAAGAAACAGAATTCACATGGAACAATGCAACTGCCTCTTTCAAAAAAAGTGCCCTGATTCACCAGGATCTGAATTCTTCCCTTTTGCTGGCTCCCTGATTCAATTCACTTAAATAGGTTATAGGTCACATTAAGTGGCCCTTATCTATTCTAAGTTACTGTGCCTGGACAGGTTCGAATCGGGGAGCGGCGTGAGCTTCTGCTGTCAGCCCCAGCTTCTGCCAACCTAGCAGTTTGAAAACATGCAAATGTCAGTACATCAATAGGTAAGGGTGCTCCGGCGGGAACGTAAGGGTGCTCTATGCAGACATGCGAGCCACATGACTTTGGAGGTGTCTATGGACCACGGCGGCTCTTTGGCTTAGAAACAGAGATGAGCACCAACCCCCAGAGTTGGACATGACTGGACTTAATGTCAGAGAAAAACCTTTACCTTTACCTAGGGCCACAGTAACTATGAAATGATTCCACTCTTCTACTTTTGTCTGGACCGAGCCAGAAGATTCATTGGGCTCCCTCACTGTGATTACATTTCTGTTGCAATTCTTGCTACATGTTTGATTTTGATTTGACTTCCTCCTACCTCATTTCTCTAGTCAATTTTTAAACTAACCATAAATCTGTTGGGTTATTGATATAAACTAGCTTGGAGACACAACTTGTTGCCCTCCAGATGTTGTTGGACTTAACTCTCATCATCTTTGTCCATCATAACCAGAGCTAATGGTAATGACAACTGCAGCTGAGCAATGTCAGGTGGGCTAACAGTTTATTACTGATGTAGAAAGGTAGGGTTAGTAAGTCACTTCTGATCTGAGAGAATTGGCCGCCTGCAAGGACATTGCCCAGAGGACGCCTGGAGCTGACAGATGGAGCTCAACCCTCTCTCCTCGGATTCAAACTGCTGACCTATCTGTCAGCAGTCCTACCAGCACAAGGGTTTAACCCATTGCACCACCAGAGGATTAAAAAAAACTTCCACTAATAAAAACATATCACACTACTGGGAATGTTCCATATTATCTAATACAATTAATTCTTTGACAGCCTTTCTGCATTGTCTGGTGTCAGTAATATCACTTTGCCTATGGCCATTTTAAAAATTACCCAAATAAGAATAATTTCAAAAATAATCTATACACTTTGAATTGGTTTTGATTTGCCCAATGGATATTTTTTAGGAGGATTACGACAGAAAGTGGATCGGAAATTCATGCTTACCAAAGAAGATTTCCTGTCTAATTTTTCATGTTTGAAACCTAAGCAAGTATGTACAGTTTTGGAATTTACTCTTATTTGATTACTTTTGTGTGATAAAAAAATGCAGGTTATTAGGACTGATATACCACCATACATCTAAAAAAATTCAAATCTTTTACTACATTTCATTATTACCTGTGAAGTAAAATCTTTAATTCACTTTCTCCACATTCTATTTATAATACATTTTGCTTGGATCTTACCTGGATGTTGTTTGCCATTCATGTTTAACAGTCCCCTCCTGTATAATGTGGAAGTTGTATTTGTGTAGGCAGTAGAGGAAATAACTTGACAGGGATTCTGGTACCTTTGAAATGGTCAGAGGGGTTGCTAAAGACCATCAGAAAACACAGTATTTTCTGTTTGTCATGGGGGTTCCTTGTGGAAAGTTTGGCCCAATTCTATCATTGGTGGGGTTCAGAATGCTCTTTGATTGTAGGTGAACTATAAATCCCAGCAACGATAACTCCCAAATGTCAAGGTCTATTTTCCCCAAACTCCACCAGTGTTCACATTTGGGCATATTGAGTATTTGTGCCATGTTTGGTCCAGATCCATCACTGTTTGAGTCCACTGTGCTCTCTGGATGTAGGTGAACTACAATTCCCAAACTCAAGGTCAGTGTTCACCAAACTCTTCCGGTATTTTCTGTTGGTRATGGGAGTTCTGTGTGCCAAGTTTGGTTAAATTCCATCATTGGTGGAGTTCAAAATGCTCTTTGATTGTAGATTAACTAGAAATCCCAGCAACTACAACTCCCAAATGACAATATCACCCCCCCCCCCCGGCCCCCGGTATTCAAATTTGGGCATATCGGATATTTGTGCCCAATTTCATCCAGTGATCATCCAGTGAATGAAAATACATCCTGCATGATTCATAACAGTAGCAAAATTAGAGTTATGATGTAGCAATGAAAATAATTTTATGGTTGGGGGTCACCACAACATGAGGAACTGTATTAAGGGGCTGCGGCATTAGGAAGGTTGAGAAACACTGAAATAGGGGGTTATGTATGTTGTTTTCTTCATTATCTAGTAGGCAAGAGGATACTTCAAAATATAGAGATATAAATAGAAAAAAATATTTTTAAAAAATTAATAGTAATACATTTCACATTGTATTTTTTTTTCAGGAAGAGAAAATCAACGTTTTAAGTTGGAAGCCATTTACTGGGACTGATGAAGGAACTGACAATCCTGCCTTCAATCATATTGAAATGAATGTAACAGACAATAATGAAAAAATCAATGGTGTTCATACATGAAAATAATATCGGACTCTGTGCTTATGTTGGCAGCTATTTAGGGTTTATGTCGCTGAAGTCAGGGTACATTTTATGGAAAATTCTATGAATTGTCCACTTTACTCAGGACTTTGAAGCAATATTTACTAAGTTATCATAATTGCAAAGTAGCTTGCAGAAATAAATAATTGGATAAAATATAACTGGAGAAAAATGCAAGTAATGATCATTAAAAACAAACAAACATGGGAAGCAAGTTCTGGACATTAAATTATTCTTCCCAATAAGTACATCCCAGCAATTCAGTGACTAAACATGTTTTGAACCACACAGTATGTTTGATTAAAAATACTACTGATTCTTCGCTAACTTACATGATTTTCCAGCAAGATATTGTTTTGCACAGATAAAAGAGGCCCCTTCTACATTGCCATATAAAATCCAAATTATCTGCTTTGAACAGAATTATAGTATAGATTCAGATAATCCAGTTCAAAGCAGATAATGTGGATTATCTGATTTGAGAATCTGGGTTAAATTGCAGTGTAGAAGGGACCAGAGATATCCAAATGAACCCATGTTTAAGCAATATCTTTAAAATGCCAGTGGATCTTTTTGGTGCATTATTCACAAGCTCAACATGTATTGGAAACAACTTTGGAACCATAACTGTAGATCAGAGGCTGTTAATTTGTAGTCCCTAGGACCTCAAGGAATTCATTCAGGGATTCAGGTCATTCAGGACCCTGACGTTTATGTTTATGATGTTATTACTAGAGTAGATCCTGAATCTGTTGCTTGAGGCAGCTCCATTGGCATGCCACCTGTTCTTGGGTGATTTATTTCTTCCAAGTGCTTTGAGTTCAACTTTGAAACTTATAGGTTACACTTAATATGATTCTTCCTTGAACAAACATCACCCTTTCATGATTACCTGTCCAAACATACCTCCCGTTACAAACCATCACAAAGTTTAAGATCAGCTGGAGAGGGCCTGCTCTTGGTCCCACCACCACCATAAATGCGGTTGGTGGGGATGAGAGACAGGGCCTTCTCAGAGGTGTGAAATTCCCTTCCCAGTGACATCAGACTGACCCCTTCCCTCCTGTCCTTTAGAAAGAAACTAAAAACCTGGTTATGGGACTGATCATTTGCACAGGAGCAGTAGCAATCGGGAATAAGACTCAATGTGATATGTATGATAATGGACTGATCTAGACACTGATTCTAAACCGGTGTGATTTTAATAAAATGTTTCTTAATGTTATGTATTTCAATGAATTGTTTTTAAATGTGTTTTATGATTGTAGATAGCACTTGAATGAGTGCTTGTTGTGAAGCTGCCCTGAGTGCCCCCCATCCCCCCGGGGGTGAGGATGGGGTACGAAATAAATTAATTTTTTTGGCAATCACTTGTTACATTTTTTGCTTTACTTGAAACATATAATCCAATATGGTGATGTGCATTTGAATCTCCATTTGTCTACGGCACTCATTGTGTGATCCTGGTTTTGTTATTATGTTCCTTCAAGTAGTTTCCAAATTATGTTGGCCCTAAGGCAAACTTTCCTTGGCAAACAAGGGGGTTTTGTGATTCAGGCACTCTCATTTTAGGCTCCTTCTGTCCTACAATATTAAATCCAGATTATCTGCTTTGAACTGGATTATATATGGCAGTGTAGACTCATGTAATCCAGTGCAAAGCAGATAATGTGGATTATCTTGAAGGAGTCATGGATTATTGTGAAGGAGTCATGTCCCTTCAATCTGCTTTGATAATTTGGATTATATGGCAGTGTAAAAGGGGCCAGGGAACAGTTCCATCTTGTCTCCTGCAAATGTCATCAGTTGAGGACCCCTCCTCCCAGCATCAACTGCTGCTCTGTGTCAGAGGGAAGAGAGAGGGGGCCAGGGGACAGTTCCACCTTGTCTCCTGTGCTATTCTAATAATGTATGTAATGTAATGTATTGTAATATATTGATATACATATAATATTGATAATTATAAGTTGCTTACCTGTAACTGTAGTTTCCTGAGTAGAATCCTGTGAATACGCACATGCAATATAATACTAATAATATGACATTATAATTATATATTTATATCACACTAGCCATCCCCTGCCACGCATTGCTGTGGTTCAGTCTGCTGAGCTGGAAAATAATTAGAAAGTGTTGGTTTCTAATATATGTAATTTCTCTATGCTTGTGGGTAAACAGTATTTCTTGCAGTGTCTTTGTCAGTGTTGATGTGGGGATTATCTGGTTTGCCTACTCTGGAACATGCAACATATAATTGTCCTTCAAATCTATGCTACTATATCTCTGTGTGTGTGAATCATATCTATCTATCTATCTATCTATCTATCTATCTATCTATATGTCTGGAAGGCTCTTTGTCAGGAGGGCTTTGATTACATTTTCTTTCCAGGGTGAAGGGAGTTGGACTGAATGTCTTTCAGTATTTTCTGTTGGTCATGGGAGTTCTGTGTGGGAAGTTTGCCCCAATTCCGTCATTGGTGGGGTTCAGAATGCTCTTTGATTGTAGGTGAACTATAAATCCCAGTAACTACAACTCCCAAATGTCAAGGTCTATTTCCCCCTAACTCCATCTGTGTTCATATTTGGGCATATGGAATATTTGTGCCAAGTTTGGTCCATCTCCATCATTGTTTGAGTCCACAGTGCTCTCTGGATGTAGGTGACCTACAACTCCCAAACTCAAGGTCAATGCCCACCAAACGCTTCCAGTGTTTTCTGTTGGTCAAGGGAGTTCTGTGTGCCAAGTTTGGTTCAATTCCATCGTTGATGGAGTTCAGAATGCTCATTGATTGTAGGTGAACTATAAATCCCAACAACTACAACTCCCAAATGACAAAATCATAATTTTTGAGTGATGGTCACTCCTTGTGTTGTGAGGCGTTTTGTTGCCAAATTTGGTGTGATTTTGTTCATTGGTTCTTTTGTTTTTAAGGTACTCATTATGCACAGAGCATTTTATATGTGTGATTTTGTTCATTGGTTCTTTTGTTTTTAAGGTACTCATTATGCACAGAGCATTTATATATATATATAGATGTAATATTACTAATAATATTACAATAGAATTGTATGGTACAATATAGTAATATTTAATACTGATATATGTGTTATGCTAATAATATAATAGAGGGGATGTGGTTTTAAAAAGGGAATTTTTAGAGATGTTCCCAATGCCCATATGTCATGAGCTATTGCCATATTGGCCTAATTCTGTAGTAGGCCTATGTTTACAGGAAATGCTGATTGTTTGAGAAAACAGTGCTCCAAAGAAGAAGTTCTTATTCAAGGATAGCAGTATATCCAGACAAAACCAGCAAGCTGATGGCTAGTTAGAATCCCCAAGTTTCCCAGTCGTTTTGAAGCCATGTTTGCAACAGACTAACAGATAAGATACAGTCATGGACAGAGAACAATGGACTATAGTTATGTTATAGTTGTGCCATTGTTAGGATCCCACGTGTGCTATAATGTCAATCAAAATAATAAACTACACATGAACAACTGTATAGCTAACTTAGACCAATGAAATGATTTGTCTTTGGGAACCAATGAAAATGTATATTCCATTTACTATAAAAGCTCTGCAGCCCCGTTGGGGGTTGCGACAAACCCTTTGATTGCATCCCTGTATGCTTGTTTGTCGTTATTGCTATGGCCAAGCAATAGCTTTTTGCAGTTTAAAAGATTCAACTTTAGTGGTGTCTATCCTTGCCCTCCCCATTAGAAAGGGGGCTTCTGCCTTTTTGGAAAGTATTTTGGTTTCTTTGCCCCTACATTTTCTGGAGGTTCCACCAAGATCGTTTCTGAGGACAATTTTGGAGGGGACCAGAGAGAAGTTTTTGGGACCTATGACTTGATCCTTCCTCTGTATGGCAGAAGGGGAAAACTGCCTGCATGAGAGCCGGGCCCATCATAAATCAATAGCCGCCAGGCTTTCTGGCCCTAGCTTATTGTCCTGAGTAGAGGGCTAGTTGAAGCACTGCAAAGATCTCCAGAAAAGCCCGGGGCGTAAGGATGCGTAAGTATAGATGAAATGATTTGTTGATAAACACCCTCAATTAGTGGAAATATAGTTCTGCAGGAAAAATTCCTTTGGACTAGAGCCGTGTGGGAGTGAACAGATGCCTGATATTAATTTTATTTAAATAATATTAATACAATATTAGTACTGATATTGTACTATGCAATTTTTTTTTTGTCGTGTCAGGAGCGACCTGAGAAACTGCAAGAGAATTGGCCGTCTGCAAGGATGTTGCCCAGGGGACGCCCGGATGATTTGATGTTTTTATCATTCTTGTGGAAGGCTTCTCTCATGTCCCCGCATGAGGAGCTGGAGCTGATAGAGGAAGCTCATCCGCCTCTCCCCGGATTTGAACCTGTGACCTTTCGGTCTTCAGTCCTGCCGGCACAGGGGTTTAACCCACTGCGCCACCGGGGGCTCCTACTATGCTAATATAATATATTGTATGCATATATATCTTCTTATTTATTTATTTATGACATTTATATGCCGCCCTTCTCATCCCAAAGGGGACTCAGAGCGGCTTACAAGATATATATGCATACAATATACTATGCTAATATAATATATTGTATGCATATATATCTTATTTATTTATTTATGACATTTATATGCCGCCCTCCTCATCCCAAAGGGGACTCAGAGTGGCTTACAAGATATATATGCATACAAAATACTATCCTAATATAATATATTGTATGCATATATATCTTATTTATTTATTTATGACATTTATATGCCGCCTTTCTCATCCCAAAGGGGACTCAGAGTGGCTTACAAGATATATATGCATACAAAATACTATCCTAATATAATATATTGTATGCATATATATCTTGTAAGCCGCTCTGAGTCCCCTTTGAGATGAGAAAGGCGGCATATAAATGTCGTAAATAAATAAATAAGAATTCCTTAATGGTAAAATCCTAGTCTGAAGCCTTATCCTAACCCCTAACCCTAATTCTAACCCCAAACCCTAAACTTAACCCTAACTCTCCCCTCCTTTCTATCCTTCCACCAAATAGAAGTCTATTCCCGCCCTCAGCGTGCCGCTTTCCCCTTCCCTTATTCACAGCCGCAGTGGCGGAATGTGCGTAACGCTCGGCACTTCTGGACCCAGCTATCATACTATCACCGTTTTGGACTCCCACCATTCCTCACTGCCTCAGGCTTTCCTCCCCGCCCCCAAGCCCGCCCCCAAGCCCCGCCCCCCAGCCGCTTAAGCGGGAAAAGGAAGGGTCCTGAGGCAGTGAGGAGTGGTGGGAGTGGGAGTCCGAAACACCCGAGGGGAGGGCTCAAGTTGGCCCCCGCCTGGAATAACGGGTCCTAATGGGTCCTAGTGTGAAGCGCGCGCGAGGCAGAAACCGCTGCGCCGGGTGGCAGTTGCCGGCGCGTGCGCACGAGCCTGCGCACGCGCCTCAACTGAGCCCGCGAAGCAGAGGCACGCGGGAAGGGAGGGAAGGCGGAGGGCGGGCGGGCTTCTTCTTCGTGGGCGGCGTCATGGCGGATCCTGGGCCTACTCCGAGGTACCTGACCCCGGAGGAGCTGGCCGAGCGCTTCACCATGGTGGACTACTTCGTCTTCGGCTCGACGCTGGCCTTCTCGGCCTGCATCGGCATCTTCTACGCCTTCAAGGGGGTGCACAAGAGCCACAAGGACTACGTCATGGCCGGGCACAGCCTGACCTGCGGGCCCGTGGCGCTCTCCCTGACGGCCAGCTTCATGTCCGCCGTGACGGTGCTGGGCACCCCGGCCGAGGTCTACCGCTTCGGCATCTCCTTCGGCCTCTTCGCCTTCGCCTACGTCTTCATGGTGCTCATCAGCGCCGAGGTCTTCCTGCCCGTCTACTACCGCTTGGGCATCACCAGCGCCTACGAGGTGCGGGCCCTTCCCAGGCCTTCCCTTTCTCTGCAGTAGTCAAAGGGCCCTTCCACACAGTCATATAATCCAGAATCCCAAGGCAGGAAACCTCACAGTCTCTGCTTTGAACTGGGTTATATGACCCCACACTGCCATATTTCTCGCACTTCTAGCCCGCCCTTCTCAACCCCCGAGGGGGGGACTCAGGGCGGCTTACAAAAAGGCACAATTCGATGCCAGCACAACAACAAGGTAAAACAAATTCAACATATAAACAGTATTATTTATTTATTTATTTCACAGTTTTCTATACCGAGCTTCTCGACCTCATTGAGGGACTCAGCCCGGTTTCCAGCCATAAAAAACATATACACTCATTAAAATATCATATATCACAATTACAAAAACAACTTTGAAAACGCTACATATAAAACTACAGTGGTCAGTCGTCCTATTAAGATGGATCTACATCAACTTCCATCCAGGGTCCTATGGTGTTGTCTCATTCATCGAAGGCCTGACTCCACAGCCACGTCTTCACCCGTTTCCTAAATGTTAGGATGGATGGGGCGGTTCTGGCCTCCAGAGGGAGAGAGTTCCAGAGTCGCGGGGCCACCACCGAGAAGGCCCTGTCCCTCATCCCCACCAGGCGCGCTTAACCAATTAAACAAATTAAAACAATTAAACAGTAATCAATCAATTAAACAAATTAAAGCAATTAAACAGTCCATTATACATCACAGTCCCAAAGAACAATCTAGTACTCAACGTTTATCAGCTCAGAGTCCATAAATTCAAAATCCACATTGTCCAATCCAACAATTCTAGTCTTCGTATTGTCGAAGGCTTTCATGGCCGGAATCACTGGGTTGTTGTAGGTTTTTCCGGGCTATATGGCCATGTTCTGGGGCAATTTTTCTCCTGACGTTTCGCCTGCATCTATGGCAAGCATCCTCAGAGGTAGTGAGGTAGTGAGGTAGGATGCTTGCCATAGATACAGGCGAAACGTCAGGAGAAAAATTGCCTCCAGAACATGGCCATATAGCCCGGAAAAACCTACAACAATTCTAGTCTTCGCTTGTGCCTTATCTATCCACCAGATTACCCAAAGGCCTGGTCCCAAATCCACGTTTTTAATTTCCTTCTAAAGGAAAGGAGGGATGTTGATGACCTAATTTCCCCAGGGAGTGAGTTCCACAGGTGAGGGGCCACCACTGAGAAGGCCCTGCTCCTTGTCCCCACCAATCTCACTTGTGATAGAGGTGGGGCCGAGAACAGTGCCTCCCCAGAAGATCTTAGACTCCGAGGTGGGACGTAGAAGGAGATGCGTTCGGACAGATACGCTGTTCCAGTTCAAAGCAGATACTGGGATTTCCCACCTTGATATTCTGGTTTATATGGCTGTGTGGAAAGGCTAATAGTGTCTCCACACCAAAGCCATGCCTTGTGGAAATCACTGGAGCTGCATGGAGTTTGTCTTAGAATCATAGAGTTGGAGGAGACCTCATGGGTCATCCAGTCTAATCCTCTGCCAAGAAGCAGGAATATTGCATTCAAAGTACCCCTGACAGATGGCCATCCAGCCTCTGTTTAAAAGCTTCCAAAGAAGGAGCCTCCACCACACTATGGGGCAGAGAGTTCCATTGCTGAATGGCTCTCACAGTCAGGAAGTTCTTCCTCATGTTCAGATGGAATCTCCTCTCTTGTAGTTTGAAGCCATTGTTCCTTGTCCTAATCTCTATAGAAGCAGAAAACAAGCTTGCTTCCTCCTCCTCTCACATATTTATACATGGCTATCATGTCTCCTCTCAGCCTTCTCTTTTTCAGGCTAAACATGCCCAGCTCTTTAAGCCGCTCCTCATAGGGCTTGTTCTCCAGACCCTTGATCATTTTAGTCGTCCTCCTCTGAACACATTCCAGCTTGTCAATATCTCTCTTGAATTGTGGTGCCCAGAATTGGACACAATATTCCAGGTTTGGTCTAACCAAAGTGGAATAGCATTACTTCCCTAGATGTAGACACTGTGCTCCTATATTTATATCCTGTCCTCACCCCGTAGGGGACTCAAGGCAATTTGATTTCATATGGACATACATAGTTTTTGTTTTGGTTTGTGTGTGTGTGTGTCAGGAGCAACTTGAGAAACTTTAAGTTGCTTCTGGTGTGAGAGAATTGGCCGTCTGAAAAGACGTTGGCCAGGGGACACTCAGATGTTTTTTGATGTTTTACCATGTTGTGGAAGGCTTCTCTCATGTCTCTGCATGGGGAGCTCCTCAAATTTGAACCACCGACCTTTCGGTCAGTAGTCCTGCTGGCACAAGGATTTAACCCATTGTGCTGCTGGGGGCTCCGAACATACATAGTAAAATACATTAAAGCAATCATTAAAATCATACCAAACCTTAAGACCAGTTATTTAAAATCACATAATCCAATATCATAGTCCGAGGCCGCTCCAGGTTGTCATTGCACTAATCCATATTCTCTTATTGCACTGGTAGATTACTAACTGAATGCTTGGTCCCACATCCATGTCTTTAGCCTTCTCCTGAAGGTCAGGAGGAAGGAGGCTGATCTAATTTCACTAGGGAAGGAGTTCCAAAGCCGAGGCACCACCACTGAGAAGGCCCTGTCTCTCATCCACACCAGTCATGCTTTCGTAGGAGACGGGACCGAGAATAGGGCCTCCCCAGAAGATCTTGACCTCCTAGCTGGCTCATAGAGGGAGATACATTCAGACAGGTAAACTGGGCTGGAACTGTAACACAACAACATATAAGATTAGACTTGCAAGAACCTTGCAGATCCCACCAAGAACCCAATATACCTTCTACAACTGTCAGAGGCCTCTGAGAAGCTCACAGACAAGACCCGCAAGCAAGTCTTCCATTTCACTCTTTTTTGCCAACATCAGATATTTAAAGGTACGAGGGTTATCCAGAAAGTAAGGTTACAAGATTTTTTTAAAAAAAATACAAAGAATGAATATATTTTAATAAAACTTATATGGATTGCAGCATAGATATTACATTATTTTTCCATATAATCATTCAGTTCAATACATTTTGTCATCCATCGGACGAATTTTTGATGCCTGTGTCTTCGATTTTCACCTTGTTGGAAAATTGTTTTCCACCAAGGTGTTTCTGCAATTTAGTGAACAGGCGATAGTCACTGGGTGTGAGATTGGGGCTGTGAGAGTGGTGGCTTAAAACATCCCAACCAAATGAAGTCAATAATTTGTGTGTTGCATGAGAGAGATGAGGACGCGCATTGCCATGAAGGAGACAGATTCCCGCCATCAGCATCCAACGTTTGTTTTGGATGGCTCTCCAAAGTTTCTTCATAGTCTCACAATGCATTCCGTACCCATTTTGTCACATGTATTGACATTATGTCCTCTTCATAAACTGAAACTTCTGCGATTAATTGCAACAGTGTTCTTGCCCTTAACATTTAGGTAGCATATTACAGTACAAACTTCACACTTGGAGGGAAACTGAATGAGGATGCTCATCTCTAACCTTCAGCGCAATGCCAGTCAATGAGCTACTGATGACTGGACTGGCACTTCTTGTTCGCTTCTGCTGGCATCCCGCTACACGTCAGTGATACCAACTTCCCCCGAGAAAATTCACTGCAAGAGCTACATGTCTTGTAATCTTACTTTCCGGACAACCCTCATATATTGCACGAGTAACAGTAATAAGCCTATCCTTATTGCAATTGTCTAGTCCCTCTTAAAAGCAAAATAAACTGGTAGCCAATCTCACAGCAGCATTTTACTTGCAAGTTAATAGCACAAAAGTGGAAGGCTACTATTTTAAGCACAATTACATAAGAAAGTTAACCAATGTGAGACTTATGTAGCTGACCCATGGTCCAAGGATGTTATCCTAGAAAGATGGGGTGCCCCTCTGTTGCACAGAGCTTGTATTCCTAAAACGGGCCTGCATTTTAATGCGTCTTAACACTATGCAAAAGTATACTCTAATTATAAATCAATGTAGGTGAATTCCTATAAATAAAGTTATCACAACTAATATTCCCAGAAATCGTTGAAGAAAAATCCATATTTGTTGAACCATTTCCTTCCCTCAGTTTGTTTTACTCTATTCCACCACACCACACCCATCTGCCAGAAACTAATTTTATAAATTCCCTAGTAACTGCGATTATCCTAAAAAGTGTTAAGATGTAGCAGAATGGTGGATCTCCAGCAGCATCCCAGGCGCTTCTGCTTTGTGCTGCCAGGAGAAGGAGGGATTCACTTCCTGTTTCAAAAACTGCCAGAAGTACTCTGCATATTAAATATAGATAAGTTTTGTCTCTAAAGGTAATTTTTCTGTTTTACAGTATCTGGAACTTCGATATAATAAGTATATGCGTCTACTTGGAACTGTGATGTTTATGACACTGACGGCAAGTAAAGCATATAATGCTTGTGGTGATCTATACACTTATGAATAAGTTATGTGTTCTAAATAATAGTTGCATCATATTTTGTTATGAAATATTAAAATGTCTCATTTATGCCAAAGTAGTTGATTTTAATTGCAGTAAATGATAGTTCAAATCTGTCACGCTGACAATTTATAACTGCAAATCTGTATACTAAACTCTTACGGTTTAATATACAATCTTTCTCAACTATCCTTTTCCTCAAACCATAGGCCTCTTCTGCACTGCTATATAATCCAGATTATCAAAGCAGAAAGTCCACATCTGCTTTGAGCTGGATTATATGAGTCTACAGTGCAATATAATTCAGTTCAAAGCCTATAATCTAGTTTTATGCAGTAGTGTAGAAGGGGCCTATATCCTTAACAGCCTCTTTATCCACACCCAGGCCCCTTCTACACTGCTGTATAATATCCAGATCTTCTTTGAACTGAATTATATGGCAGTGTAGACTCATATAATCCAGTTCAAAGCAGATAATGTGGATTATTGTTTTTGATTATTTATTTATTTAGAAGTTTTATATACCGGTCTTCTCACCTCCAAGGAGGGACTCAGACTATATATATCTAGACTATATGGCAGTATAGAAAGGGACTCTGCTAACTGTTCAAACTTCACATCCCCTTCTCATTCTATCAGGGTACATCTAAGCTATAGAATTAATGTTGTTTGACACTACTTTAACTGCTATAGTTGGCTATGGAGTTATGGGAGTTACCTTAGTGAAGCACCAGCACTCTGACAGAAAAGACTTGTAAAACTATAAAGCTTGTGATTCCATAGCATTGAGCCATGGCATGCTCATGCAACTTTGCATGACTGTATATCCCTAAAGTCATGCAAAACATGTGCTTTCCTTTCTTTGACCCCTGTGGAGAGCATAGTGTGCATTTTAAAAGCCTGAAACATCTGATCAACCGATCAAGCTGTTAAACAGACACACAGGTGGTTCAAGGGAAGAACAAATGGAGAGCAGTTAGAACTTTCTAACTTACACTTTAGAATCTTAAACAGAGGTTGAATTAAGAATTGGAAGATTATTTTTTAATTCCCCCGTTATGTGCTGGGCCTCATATGAATACATGCAAATCTGCTTGAGTTTATATTAAGATATTTGCATGTGTGCTTATATGGTCCAGTGGATAATGGAGGGAATATGTTATTCAAAAAACTTCCACCAGATGTTCCTCGTCCGTCCTCTATCTTGATCTGCTTCAAAAGAAGGCTGTGAGGACGCTGGCTGACAGGTTTGTGTGTGGGCCTGCTGTCAGGTCCTGGGATTTTTTGTCTAAGATTTTAAATTCAGAGGGCCCTTCCACATAGCCCTATATACCAGAATATCAAGGCAGAAAATCCAGCAATATCTGGTTTGAACTGGGTTATCTGAGTCCACACTCAGATAATGTGGGATTTTCTGCCTTGAAATTCTGGGATATAGGGCTGTGTGGAAGGGCCCAGATTTTGGTGCTGTCTGGAATCGCCCTCAGTATAAACTGCCACTAAAAAGTAATTTTAAAAGATACAATCTATGTCACATGTGTGTTTGTTCCACTTCTACAGATCTTATATACTGGAATTGTAATCTATTCTCCATCACTGGCTTTGAATCAAGGTAAGCTATTATTTTGTGTAACAGCGCTTTTCAAAACAGCAAGGAAAAGATAGATCAGGTCAACTGTATGATATTACAAGATTTATTCCAATCTCTAGAGGTCAAATACTCAGCAGTTAATTGAAAAAAGCGACTTGGAGTTTCTACATTTCTAGCATCTATTATAGTGGATTTTATCATTTGCATGATTTAGCCACTAATGAAGTTTTAAAATAATTTACAGAGGAATCCCATGCATTATTAATTGGAAGGAGTTTTACTGTTTTTATTGGGGCTTAATCCTAACTCAATGTGCATTGGATTGTAATGAAATCATATTGAAGAAGTAAAAAAAAAAGAAAAAAAAGAGAGAGCGCATTTAGTGATTGTAGAGAAAGGAAGACATTGGAAAAATAGGCTTTTCAGAGTTGGCAGATTTTGTCTCTTTTTTTTTTTTGCCACTCACCTGTATTCCTGGACAAAGTGCAATTGCTACCATACTACACCAACAAGATTCTGATCTGTTAGCTTAGAAGGTTTTATAACCAATTTATAAAGGAAAAAAACCCAAAACAATAGGCACTAATTTGCCTTTTACATTTAGCCACTAATGTATAAAGGCAATTTGGAGGAATAGCTGCTTTAAAGGCTGGATCTACACTACCATATAAAATCCAGGGTGCTTCCAGACTTCGCAGAAATGTGCACGAAATAACCCGGCTGAGCATAAATGTAATACTGTGATTTACTGATTTGTCTTTTCCTGTCTTTTGTCCCCACACCTTTCCCCAAAACCTGGGCTTTGCCGGGCGGCTGTCCCATGCCATCGTGGTTTGGGGGGAGGGGATGAGTGCCCACCTTGGTTCTCCGGATTCATGGGGCCTGAAGAACCGAGATGGGCTGTGGGGACCAACCTCTGGTTAGTCGTGAGACTACCCAGTGGTCAGTACCCACAGGGCCCATATCCCATTAGACCCGGACTTTTCATGGGGTATCCAATTAATTTGGGACAAAGCAGGGTTACCTGCTTTGTCCTTAATTAATCTTCTTTTACCAGAGGCGTTGTTTGTACGCCTCCGGTAAAAGTCCGATGGCCCTAATTTTGGGCCCTGTCTGGAAGGGGCCCCAGATTATCTGATTTGAATTAGTTTATATGGCGGTGTAGATTCATATAATTCAGGTCAAAGCAGATAATGTGAATTATATGCTTTGATAATCTGGATTATATGGAAGTGTAGTTCCAGTTTGAGGCCCCATCTACACTGCCATATAAAATCCAGATTATCTGCTTTGAACTGGATTATATGACTGAAGACTCGTATAATCCAGTTCAAATCTGATAATGTGGATTATATGGCAGTGTAGATTCAGCTTAACTTTCCATATAGTAATGCAGCCCTAACTCAAAGATGTACTGGTTTGAGCAGGTTAAGATTACACACAAACCTTTTCCAAGACTACCTAAATTGGTCTGATGTCTGCTATTTATTTATTTATTTACAGCATTTGTAGCCCACTTTTCTCAGTCTTACGGCGACTCAAGGCAGCTTACAGAAATTGGCAGTCAGTCCTCTTCTACACTGCTAGATAATCCAGATTATCAAATCAGATAATGCTTTGAACTGGATTACATGAGGCCCCATTCTACACTGTCATATAAAATCCAGATTATTTGCTTTGAACTGGATTATATGACAGAAAAGACTCATATAATCCAGTTCATGTGGATGATTTGCTTTGATAATCTGGATTATATGGCAGTGCAGAAGGGGCCTATATGAGTCTACACTACCATATAATCCAGTTCAAAGCAGATAATATAGATTTTATATGGCAGTGTAGATGGAGCAACTGTGTATATTTCTTTGCTTATCTTCCCATCTGGTCCTCTGCATTTATTTAAAAATATTTTATTTAATTTTTTTAAAAAACTATAATTTTTCTTTACATTCTCAGTTACAGGATTCCAGTTGTGGGGATCTGTTGTTGCAACAGGATTAGTCTGTACTTTCTACTGCACACTGGTATGTAAGCAGCTCATTTTAATAAATATATTAAAATGTTACCTATTGATAAGAGTTATCAATAAAGCATTGCAAAATTTAACTTTCATTTTAAGCTCCTTCTACACAGCTGAATAAAATCCCACATTATCTTCTTTGAACTGGATTATATGGTAGTGTGGACTCAGATAACCCAGATATTGTGGGATTTTCTGCCTTGATATTCTGGGTTATATGGCTGTGTGGAAGAGCCCCAAAACCATTTACTAGCAGAATGAAATCAGATAAAACCTGGTATCCATTGAGTGCATTTTTCAGCTGATAAAAGAAACATTTTCTTCTATAGTTATCATGACTCTTGTGGGTTTTGGACTAGAGCTGTGGTTCTCAACCTGTGGGTCCCCAGATGTTTTGGCCTTCAACTCACAGAAATCCTAACAGCTGGTAAACTGGCAGGCATTTCTGGGAGTTGTAGGCCAAACACTTGGGGACCCACAGGTTGAGAACCACTGGACTAGAGATTCCTAACTCTCCTTCACACAAGTATACTGTGGATATGACATTCCCTTATGTGGATTCCAGTCAAAGAAGGAAAGGCACACATTTTAGTTCTTATAGCTAAGTTTGGGGCCCCATCTACACTGCAATATAAAATCCACATTATGTGTTTTGAACTGGGTTATATGGCAATGTAGACTCATATAATCCAGTTCAAAGCATAGAATGTGCTTTGACAATCTGTATTATATGCCAGTGTAGGTCCAGCCTGGGATGATTTGGGAAAATACGTTTTTGTTCAGTGCTTTAGAGGCAAGTTAGTCATTTTCTCTTCAGAGGGCTTTTCATTAAGTGCATGCACTATATTTTCAGATAGGTTTACTTTCAGAGGCTTAAAGATAAGGACAATTTCTATATCATATTCTTACTTAAGTATATTTAACTTTAATCAAATAACTTCTCCTGGGCCAATCCAACCCCTGCCCTCATGAAACCTTCCATGCACTGATAAGGAGTAGAATGGCTCTCCTTTTCCCTATGCAGCTGATGCCCAGTAATTGTGAATGCAAAACAGTTAAAAGTTGCTGATGTAGAATACGGGTCCAAATCAAAATGGCCATGCTTAATGTTTTCTACAGAAATGCATTATTTTGGTTTTCCGTTTTATGTTTTTTAGTTCTGTTATGCTTTGTGTTATATTGTGTTATGCTTTTGTGTAATATTGTGTTTACTGTATTGATGGGCATGGCCTCATGTAAGCCGCCCAGTCCCCCTGGGGGAGATGGAGCGGGGGTATAAATAAATTATTATTATTATTATTATTATTATTATTATTATTATTATATCAATAGCTTTATAATCAGTAGAATGGCTCTCCTTTTCCCAATGCAGCATGATTGAGAATATAGACACTGATATTTCACAAAATAGAAAGAATTTCTTATAGTTAGATGATAATGTTTATTTGTACCCCACTTTCTCTCCACAAAAGACACTCAAAATGGCTTACAATGAAAGCATTTCAATACAATTTAAAATCTACAGATATTCAAACATTAAAACAATTAAATTATTATTATTATTTTATTATTAAACTTTATTTGTACCCCGTTAGCATCTCCCGAAGGACTCGATGCGGCTTCCAAAGCCAAGGCCTCAACACAACAACAGCATAACAAAACACTCAAAACAAAATCAAAAACATAAAGCAATAACAACAAAACATTACACCATAACACAGTAAAAACTAGGGCCGGGCCAAGTAATGGGTACAGATTAAAAAGTGCTGGGTGTGACAGGTGGTATGTTGGAGTTCAGGGCAAGTGCAGTGTGCAGAGAATCTAAAAATTCTAATAAAGTGCTTCTGGGACATAATGCTGGAGTTTTCATATTCCGGAAAGGCACATCGGAATAGCCAGGTCTTCAAGCTCTTCCTAAAGACTGCCAACGTGGGTGCTAGTCTGATGTCTTTGGGGAGGGTGTTCCAAAGTCGGGGGGCAACCACAGAAAAGGCCCTGTCCCTCGTCCCCACCAAACACGCCTGCGACACAGGCGGGATTGCGAGCAGGGCGATCATAAACGGATGATAAATATCAATAGATCCTGGATGTAGATGTTTATTTAGATAGCAGAGATAAGTTGCTCTACACAGTATCTGCCTTTCCGATAGGGTGGACTCAAGGCAGTAATCTGGACTGATGTCTTCCAGTTTGTCATGATGATAAGTGGATTTTTCGCAGTGATCTTTCGAACATTAGTAATTAAAGGAGGATTTGGCCCCATTATAGAGGATGCTCGTCGTGGAGGAAGACTACGATATTGGGAGTAGGTGTTTGTTTTTATTTGATAGCATTATAAGTACCTCAGATATTAGTAATGGTGTTTAAAGTTTGTGAGCTTAAGTTATCATAAGTGAAGGGCTCCAGAGCAGACCTACACAACTTAACAATTAAAATATGCTAAACTTTAGGCTGCAGATAAGTTTTTAGTGCTTTATTTTCCAAGTAAAGATATAATTAATTATTAAACTCTTTTGCCAATAAACTATATTATAAAAAGGGAGATTTTTCAATTAATATAAATTAATTACACGTATTACTTAAGATTTGTATTTATCATGAAATCACATTTATACTAAAAATAACTTTGCTGCACTGTACAAGCTTGAATACATTTCTGAGGTTTTCTTAAAACTTTTCATTTAGTTAATTGGACATATTACAGATTGGTTTTCAACAATCAGTTCATCATACTTCAAAATAATGTCTGACCTTAGAGAGGGAATCAGACATTAATGTAACCTGACAGGTGCCCTCATGGCAGAGGTAGGGAACAAGCCAAAAACACAGCAAAAAGATTAAACTCTAATTCCTCCTGAACTAGAGACAGAATGATGATGGCTGGTTTCCACAGGTCACATGAAAAACAGGAGATAGTGCACAGTGGCACTCCACCTGCCAAGTTACATGATGGGCACAATAGTGACTGGTGGAAAGCAGGTTAAGTGGGACACTACTGGATAATTTCAGGCACAAGTTATGCATGGACAAAGTAATCGTTACATCTGTACTTTCTTTTACATCCTGTACATTTTTCACAGACTCTGAAATCCTTTGGCAGGCCACCTGTGGCCCGTGGGACTGTATGTAGTGCAGGTCTGCTGCAGAGGAATCCAGTTATTAATGCAATTCTTATCATAGAAAGAGAAAGAATAGCTTATTCACTCATGTGAAGTTTCCTCCTAGATAAAAAAGCATGTCTCCTAAAAACATGCTAACAATATCATATATTTTGACCCTCTGTCATATAATGGAATCTACACTTGAGGGTGACAAAGATGGGGGCTTTTGTTGAAACAGACTCCATAGAAAGAATAAAAACATAAGCACTGGCAGACTGGGTTCAAAAGACAGTCCTTTACCTTTATGTATTTAAACAAACAGTGGCAATGTGTGGCCATTTTGGTTAGTCCTAGTAACAGTCCAGTCCAGTAACTGTGTAAGTCAGTGCTGTCCAGATGCATAATTCTTAGATGCCATGATAGTTCCATATACAATTGATGTATCTTTTCTCTCTGATATTCAGAATTCTTCAAAGTATAATGAATGTGTGAGTATACTGTCCAGAAATTTGAAACTATTTTCATGGAACTTCTTCTAGCCCAAAATTGTTTGATTTGCACATTAAAAAGCCTGGAAACGATTTGAAGTCACTAAAGGACTTAAGGGTGTTTATTTCATTTCATCACACGTATGGCAACTAGAATTTTTGGGGTACTCCAAATAGCTTTTGTTTTTTTAAGTTTGGGCAATGCTTTGACTTGCTGCTAGATCAGGGCCCTTCCAGACAGGGCCCAAAATGCAGGCCCTGTCGGACTTTTACCTGAAGCGTGCAAATTACACCTCAGGAAAAAGCAGATTAATTCAGGATAAAGCAGGAAAACCCAGAAGTCTGTCCCCACAGCCCAATTTGCTTCTTCGGGTTCCATGAGCCTGGAGAAACAAAGAGATCACCTCCCTTCCCACCCCCTCCCCCTGCAAAAGCCTTGCTCCTGCCCCCTGCCTCCTGGTGCATCATTCTACTGCCTTATGGCAACCCAGTATTTTTTCTTTATTTTAAAGTCTTTTTTTTTGAGTGAGGAGTTGGGTGGCCTGGTCTCATCCCCAAAGTTTACAGGATGGCATGGGGACACCCACCTGGGAAAGCTTGGTTTTGGGGAGAGGTGGGGGACTTTAGCCCGCTTTGGAGTAGATTTCTTTAACCTGCTCCGAAGTGGGTTTAAGCCCTGTGTGGGAGGGCCCTCAGCCATCTTTGAAGCCATGCTCTAATCGGTGAACCAAGGATAATAAGAATATGCTCTGAATGACTTTTTTTGGAAGTTTCAGAGCTGAGGAAATAAAGAGTCAGCTATTGCTTCCATTCATTGTGCAGCACAAAGATTGTATGTAATTTTTCTTTTCTTTTTGAGGACATTATTTGCTTCATTTGCCAATAGTAGAGGAATGTTTTGAAATTGACTATTTTACTTTTATTTGGATCACCATTTGAATTACAGGCTTCCTATTCATAAGTGAAACTTGAAAGTCACTTTCCTTTTTGCATTAATGTAGAGTTTCAGAGTTGAAACAGTCATCAAGACCTTCAGTTTATCTCAAAACTTAATTTCTTTGGTATGAAAGCATTTATTTTTTCTCATTTTTATTCCAGTCCTATCTATCCTATTGAGAAATAGTAGATAGAATATCTAAATTTTAATTAAGACACGCAAAGTCATTGAGAAAAATTCAAATTCTTAATGGCCTAATTGCTCCTTTTTATACTTAAAGTATGCTATAGGTTGTATCTTTAAAGTCTGCCAATTTTTTACTTATTAGCTTCCAGGATTCTTTCTTACCTATATTGAAACCATTTGAGAGAAATTTCTCCTCAGGGAATTACGTTTCATTTAATGTGGGGAACTATCACAATTGTTGCATTTTCTAAATTAAATTTGCATTTTCGGATCTGCTTTTTTTTCTCTTAGTTTTGATCCTAACCCTTTGCAAAGGCATACTTTTTGGACTGTCGTTGTTGGTGGCACTTTCACTTGGCTTGGCATATATGGAGTAAATCAGTCTCAGGTTCAGCGATATGTTGCTTGTAAAACACGACTTCATGGAAAACTGTAAGCTCACATATTGTAAATTTGATGTTCTAGTCAAGAAATCCTCATGTGTAGCAGTAGACTGCATATATACTCTTATATGTGCAGATATTTAGTGTGGGGTTCAACTTACATGTGATAGATATATATGAAGTTTTATCATGCACTAAACATCTTGGGTATATACCTGATTCTAAAAAATGATTCACACATGGAAATTTTTTTTCTATATATGGATTATCAAAGCGATTAAGCGTTTTCATTGTTTGGTAAAATCTATACTTTAAAAAAATAATTTAAAAATCCCAAAATTAACAACACATTCCTTCTTACTATATAACTGCTAAAACATAGCAGTGAATGATATCTTATTAAACTATAGTGTGGTCCAAAAGTCCCAAAAGAGCCTGATGTTTTAATAACTTTCTGCAAAAAAATTGAAAAGATTTTACCTTTAGTTTAATGTAATGTAATTGTATTTCCCATATTTATTTTATATGATGCTATGGTATGTTGTAAATCAAAAACAAAAAGGAGTATTTAATATTGACACCCCTTTGTGATTTTTAGCCCACCTTGTATTTGTCTTACACTGTATCCAAGGTTCTTGTGTTTTGTGAATATGATAAAGGCAGAGGGACAGGATGAAGAAATCGTCACAGGTAGATTGATTAATGAAGGAAACCATGCCCCTGATTTTCTGAAACCTTAACAGAGCAGTTGATGACATCATATCTTGGCGGTTTCTCATTCATAGCAAATATCAGCAGCAAAATAAAATTAAATATTAATGTTTGGTTTAACAATAATTTATAATCTTGCTAGTTCAGTAAACATCATTCATAAACAAAGAGGGTTTCAAATTTAGTATTGCCTGTATGTAGAAACCAGGTGTCATCCAGCTGGATGTATCAGTTGAAACAGTATTTGACTTGCTTTCTCAGTGGGACCTATATGTAGAACCATCCTAGGACGTTGTAACAATTTTCCCCCAATTTTCTATTGAGGCAGACTGTTTCTTTCTATGTAGGTTTTGTATTTAAATATTGAGTCTTATACTTGCATTTTGTTTGAATTTACATATTAACAATGAAGTTTTGGTTTTCTTTAGCATAACTTCTTCTTTTCAAGTTGGTCTCAACTTATAGCAACCCTATGAACGAGACACCTTCTAGACACCCTGTTATTAACAGCCCTGCTCAGATCCACAGACTTAGGGCTATGACTTCCTTGTTCACATTTAAATAAGTCCACTTGTGATACTGTCTTACTCCTTCTCTCCTGTCTTCAACTTTACTAAATGTTATTGTATTTTCCTGTCAGTCATCTGCTACCATTTAAGGCTTTTGTGTGCATGCCTTCAGAATAGTTTCTTCTGTCCTTCTTGTTCAGTCCTTTTTAGTTGCTTTAGCAGAATCATAAGTTATGAATATTGTTTATGCTTTATGAATACTCTTTTTCCTAAGGGGATTGAGCTTTTCCCCCCCCCTCATTATTGTACACCATTTACACCGTAATAATAACTCCTTTAGCATGAGATTGAGGGCCTTTCCACACAGCCCTATATCCCAGAATATCAAAGCAGAAAATCCCACATTATCGGAGTGTGGACTCAGATAACCCAGTTCAAAGGAGATATTGTGGGATTTTCTGCCTCGATGTTCTGGGATATAGGGCTGTGTGGAACGGGCTTGAGCTACCAGAGACCCATCCAGTACCAGGCTGTAGTGTATTAAAAGCTTTTGGAAGATGTCCTTCTCATGATGAGACCCTTACACAATATTTATTTTTAGGGAGTTTTCTGCCGCTACTAGGTACTTCTGGGAAATGCAGGTTATGACATTCCTCTTTGGTACTTAGCTGTAGTTCTACTTTCACTCTAAGGAGTGATGGGACTCTCATTTCCTCTCTTCATGTGGCCCTGGTTCCTCTTGAACTATAGTTCCAGTTCTTGTAAAAACTATGGTTCCAGTTCACTAGTAAACGTTTAGGAGTCCTTTTCCAAAAATGATTGCTCCAGCAGGTGGTCTCCATAACCATCTCCATTAAGTTAAGCTGGCCATACCCACAGTACACATATCACACATGTTTTCCATTAATCTCAGCACTCAGTGCAAATGGAATTGCTGCAAAGCAGGCAGAAGTATGGTGATATGCTCATTTTCATTGGGCCCACCACCTCTTTGAAACACTCTCCCCCATTTCCCTTTTTACCGGGGGGCCGCTAAGATCTGAGGACACAAATGTGACCTGATTCTTGTAGTACTCTGATGGACATGACAATTGTACTGAAATCTACTGTCAGCCTTTTCCAAAGCGGTCATGTCTTTTAAACAGCTCAGCAAGTCTTTTATATATAGGCTGTTACTTTGTCTGGAGTAGTTTGGCCCAGCCATATTTGTGTTTCTTCTTCGTGTCTATCTGAAATGCGCACCTATGGGTTTTTCCCCACGCATGCGCAGCAGACCATAACTTTCTAGAGTTTTTTAATTGATTTTTTTAGAAGGATAGACCCTGCCCATCCCCCCGACAGCCCACATGCCCCAAGGCAGGGCTTAACCTCAGTTCCTTTTTCCGTGCCAAACAAGCAGCATCGTAGAACTTCTCCTTGTGAATTACTGGATTGTGTTAACAACTACCAACCTTCTCCAATCCTGACCTACGGACCAGCTAGACTACTCTTCTGCTTCTCTCGTACAGGCTAGATGTCTTCCCTCTGTTTTAAAAATTGTCAAGCCTGCGGGGCTACCCTCCCTGAGGCTGATAGGCACTCTAAGTGCCTCCTTTGTTTGTTGAGCTTCACAACTAGGGCTCGCAAGGGCAGGGATGCCCGCCTAAAAGCCCTCCTTTATGAGCGTGCTTTGGCTTCCCAACCAGCTCCCTCCCCCTCCCAATCCTCCCCAGTTCAAGAGCCCTCTCAGCCCCTCTCCCCACGTGCTGGGGATGGGCGTGAGTTTATTCCGGCAACTGCTCCCTCTGCGGAGCTGCCAAGAAAGAAAACTAAAACTTCAAAACAATCTGTGAGATCTGCAAAATCAAAAGACAAAACAAACTAACAGAAAAAAGGACAGTAACTCACTGGCACTCAGCCCTTGAGCCCTCCTACCTTGGAACCGATCCACCAAGTCCCCGGTTCCGTGTTCCAAATCTAAGAGCCTCTCCCAACAATGCTACACATGGAAGGCCCCACCCAGTTCCCCCCTTTCGAACTCTTAGCGCCCCACCTCCCTCTGGAAGCCCAACCCACAGCTGACCCTTCCATTTTCCCCCCACCTCTCCCTCCCTCTCAGCCTTCACCTCCTCCTCTAAATATTCCTGATTCTCTGGTACCATGAGAGACTCCTCCTCCCTCTCAATCCATCTCCTTGATGCACCCTTCTCGGCGCCGGCACCGCTCTCCTTCTCCTCCCTTGGAACGCTCTCCAAGCCCTTCTCTCCAACCTTCCAAAAGATCCAGGACCCACTCTCCTGACCATCATCAACCTTATCCATATCAGGATTMCCCTTATCCTCTCTACCCCCCCTCTGCCTTTCCCAATGTACCCCTTTTACTATCCGCCTCCTCCAGAACATTTCAAGGGGCTTAATATACCCCATCCCGTTGACCCAAGGTACCCTCAACCCTCATGCATACCTCCTACAGCCACACTCTCTCACCCTCCAGAACAACATAATGAAACAGAACCTCAACCAATCCTTCAAGATCCCCCCTCCCTCACCAATCGGACACAACTATTATCCAGGACCCCCAACCAGACCCTGACATTTCACCTCAACAATTGGAAGATTTTTTTAAAAAAATCAGCCTTACTAAAAAGACTCTCTAGAGCACTAAATCTTTCCACCCCAGAGCCTTCAGATACAGTCTTAAACCCTTGCTTCACCTCCTCTGAACAACAAGCACCCACTTCTACTGTGTTGCCCACTCTGCCTTACTTCCTTAAGATACTAAAAACACTGGAATTGCTCCAGCCCTAGTTCCAGCAATGCCTAAAAGGGCAGAAAACTTGTACCGTATTGACCTTACCTTGGCCTCCTGGCTAGCTAAGATGCCCAAAGCAAACTCAGTGGTAACTGATGCCCAACCAAAACCTATACAAAGAAACCAGTCTTCTCCTTCTGACAAAGAGGGAAAGAAACTGGATGCCATGGCCAAAAAATTCTATTCCTCAGCATGCCTTTTTGCTCGCATGGCTCACTATGGAGTATATATGAGTGTCTATCAGAACTTTCTGTGGAACAAGATCTCCCCTTATTTGGACTTATTACCAACATCTGAACAACCATTGGCCAAAGCTTTTGGACAAGAGGCCTTCCTTTTGTCCAGCCTCCAAAAAGATCTTGCAAAACATACGGCCGACACCTCAGGCAAACTTATTGCAGGCTCGGTAGCCCTCCGCCGCCATGCTTGGCTTTGAGCTGCTACTCTTTCCCAATCACAACACACTCTGGTAGAAGACCTTCCTATGGATGAAGCAGGACTATTCAACCTTGAGACTGACTCTCAGTTGGAACATTCACATAAAGTGAAACAGACAGTATACAAATATGATCAACAACCATATCCCTACCAATGTCAACGCTGGGCACCTTACTACCACCGCTCTCAATTCTACAATATACCTTCCAACACATCCTTCTACAGAGGACGACAAAGACCACACTCTCCTTCTACATCTACAAGGAGACCTCCTCTTCCTTCAAGAGGTCAGTACCGTGGTACCAGATCTACCAAAAATACCAAATGACGTTTTTAGCACTCCTTTTCTTACCCCCCTACCCTCCCTCACCTACCTCTCAACCGCTTACTTTCCTAGACAGACTCCACCATTTCCTCCCGGCATGGCAGTCTATCACTACAGACGCCTGGATTCTGGATATAGTTGACAGAGGATATGCCATAGAATTCGATACCTACCCCCCTGAAGGAAACATCCTCCTTACCCAACCCTCTCCAACTCTCTGGGAGGAGATAAATTCCTTGCTTTACAAAGGGGCCATTTCTCCCACCCCCTCCCACGAAACCACTTCATGCTTCTTCTCCCGCTATTTTTTGATAGACAAGAGGGACGGAGGCTTACGCAAAGTCAATTCATTTATTACACCACGGAAATTCCGCATGGTCACTCTTCCCAACATACTTCCCTTCATTCCGGAAGGCTCTTGGTTGCCCACAGTTGATTTAAGGAATGCGTACTTTCATATATCGATTAGACAGTCCCACTGCAGATTCTTGACCTTTGTGATACACATAACTACTTCTCCTTCAACGTACTTCCATTTGGCTTATCCACGGCACCCAGGGTATTTACTAAGTGCATGTCAGTAATAGCAGCCCATCTCTGCCAACGAGGCATCATGGTTTTTCCGTACCCCGATGACTGGTTACTATGTTCTTTCTCCAAAACTCAATTATATTCTGACATTCGCTACACCTCGTCTCTCTTACAGGACCTCGGCCTGGTCATAAATCAAGAGAAATCCCATATTCTCCCAACACAACACATCCAATTCATAGGAGCCATCATAGACTCCAATGCACAAAGGGCCTTTCTCCCAGAAGACCGCTTCTCCAACCTCCAAGTCACCATCTTCAACCTCCAATGCTCTGGACAAATGAGGCCCTCCAAAACTGGTTCCTCAAATCATTTGACCTTCTCCAAGACCCCCAGTCCAGGGTCTTATACGCACCCCTCACTGTCCTCCAATCCCTCACATGGTGGACAAAGGAGTACAATGTTTGCTTGGCGATGCCCTTCAACCAACCTCGTCCTTCCATGTCCCTCACAATCGATGCCTCCAACACGGATTGGAGAGCACATCTCAAGGGATTCCACATTGTTTCGATTCTTAATTACTCCTCACACTATTCCTGCATGGCTCGATATTGGTTCGAAGCTAATTTAAATATGAATTCTTAACGACTTTAGAAACTAATGAACACGATCAACCAAGCCTGCTATTCACCCATAGGTGCGCATTTCACAGATAGACACGAAGAAGAAGTATAGGTTGCTTACCTGTAACCATATTTATTCGAGTGTCCATCTGTGAAATCCGCACAACCCGCCCCGTCCTCCCCGCTATATCATGCCATAACCTAGCTGAGGTTAAGCCCCGCCTTAGGGCATGTGGGCCGTCAGGGAGATGGGCGGGGCCTATCCTTCTAAAAAAATCAATAAAAAAATCTAGAAAGTTCCGATCTGCTGCGCATGCGCGGGGGGAAAACCCATAGGTGTGGATTTCACAGATGGACACTCGAAGAAATACGGTTACAGGTAAGCAACCTATACTTATCCACTATTATGGACTAGATTGCTGTTCCCACCTGTAAAGCTTTATAGAAATAATTGTATCCAAATCAAGCCTGCCTAATTTCCAATAAGATGTTTTGTTATTCTGTCATACATTTGATTCTCTGATACTATGAAGAACAGGTTGTTTCCAATAGTTGAGGTTCTTCGAGTAGCTATCTGTGCCTTTGCACAAACTGCCCTATCTGATAATAATTTTAATAGGAAATAAAGACCGCAAGATTATTTTTGATCAAAGAAGTCCATTTGTTTGAATGTTAATTTAGTTTAACTGCTTAATGTGCAAGAATGCAATGTGTTGTCTCAGTGGAATAATGGGAGTAACTGTTTTCTTTTCATACTTCAGCAAGAACAAAGCACTTTTAAGGTTCTTAACTTTTCTTACAGATCTCTGTATATAAATCTTGTGGGACTCTGGGTAACTCTATCTTCTGCAGTGATGTGTGGACTTGCAATGTATTCTGTATACAAGGATTGCGACCCATGGACAGCAAAATTTGTGGGCGCACCAGATCAGGTTTAGTATTAATGATAAGTAATTATGTAAATATGAATTTAGATTCGATATACTGCATGAAAATTATATTTTCCTATCACAACCCCAAAGACTCACCATCCCCCTCCCCCAGTTGTTTCCGTTGTGGATGGAGAATGGAGGGGATTAAAGAAGTATTTTCTTTTGTTCCCATGATCTGCTAGTGTCCTCCAGAGGTTTCAGAAGAACATATTGATGGTCTACATCTAGCTAAGTGAACATAGCTAGATGTTTCCCTGACCTCCTCCTCTCCATCAGCATTGCAGTGGCCATGGGGGAGGAGGGACTGTCACAGCAAACAATGAATTTTTTAACAGTAGTGTGGGACCTTGGGACATTGTGAGATCCCAAAAAATCAAGAGGTCTGTGGGGACTGACCCCTGGCACTACCTGGGAGTCAGTTCCCACAGACCCTATATCCCATTAGAACCGGGCCTTTGTCTAAAATTAAATCATTTTTACCAGAGGCATTGTTTGGATGCCTCTGATAAAAAACTTGACAGGCATTTATCGGGTGATCGTTTATGACTGTCAGAACCACAGAAATCCAGTATTTTACTTGGATAAATATAATAAAATAATAAAAAGGGGACATCTGCATTTCTGAAGAGATATCATGAATTTCAAATAAACATCTGTACAAACAAATCACATATATTTATGAGTGGTTCTTCCAGTGAAATTTACCTGATGCACCATACCACTCACCTTAAGAACTCTCAGTTTTCCCCAGTGAGTAGCTAAAACAAGTTAATTAACCATGACATCATTATCAGCATATCTGAACGCCTATACCCTTCCCTTTTATATCTCTATTAGTGACAGAACACATAAATTTTACCCCTTGGATATACATAGCATTGCAAATCCCTTCTGCAACATGGGAGGATTCTGTCAGTCACCTTGCCTTTTGATGAGTAGGCTAATTCATCTCACACTGACTTCATATTTACTGGCTGTTCTTTCTCCAATAGGGCAAATACCTTATTGTTATATTGGTGGCTTCTTTCTTTGCCTGCATCATGTGAGTGTCTTTGAAGGTCTTTCAGAATCTGCCACTTGTAGAAAATGCAGCATTTTCTGACACAAGTCATCAGTAGAGAACATATTACATCTCTTCTTGTTCATTTCTCTTTACTGTATTGTGCAGTCCAGTTACTAACTTTCAGACCTAATTCCAAATGCTGATAGTTATCCATTTAGCCTTTAAAAAAATAATAATCTTTATTGAGATTTTTTTCAATTAAAAACTGTATATAATAAAAAACAAAGAGAACAAAAAACAAAAAGAGGAACAGAAAACAAAAAACAGAAAACAAACATAATAAAATAGAATAAAAAATAAAGATAGATATAGAGTTGAGGTTTCTTGACTTCCAAGTATAATATCTGAGGTTTATTCCTTTTCCTTCTTTCACTATTTCTCTTCAGTTCCTTCTCCCTGGCTTCTTTAGTTTTTCTATTCCACAAATCTATTTCAGTGTAATCTTTTCTTCTTTCTTAAATCAAAATCTTCTTATTTCTTTGTTTTAAATATTCAGTAACTTGTCTCAAATCTCTCTCCTCTGCTATCTTCCCCTTGTTCTTTAAAATAAGGAAGGTAAGTCTATCCATGTTTTTGATTTCTAGTATTTAGCCGTTCATGGTATTGATATTGCGTTTCTTAGAAGGTGCCTTCATTGGCACGAGCCATTATCTTTAAAGATTCACTATCTAGATCTATTCTTAGTCACATTTCCTTTTCTCTAGTTTTTTCACAGAAAGTTATTGTGCCATTCACTGCTTTTTGAACTTCGTTTTAAGATTTTAGACAATGCCTTGTTTGACTGTTATATGCAGATCATTGTTATATTATAATAGTGTTACTTCTTTTCTGAAAGACATATACGTATTCAAATACGTTTGGTGTGCATTTGGCTGTGTGAAAAATATTTCCTGTTTGTGTTTTATTTAAAAGTTAGTTCATGTTAGTGTAATCCGTAGTTTACGAAGTAAGCCTTCACAAATAGAGGATTTTTGCCGTCCTGGTTTGCTGCCCTCTTATAAGGTACATGTTTTGAATGCAATGATGCTATAGCTAATGTAAAATGTACATTTTTCCTAAGCAAGTCATCTTTTAAAAGACTCAGTAAAACAAAAATGAAATTTTCATACTTTGACAATTGGTTTTTTTTAAAGCTTATGCCATATTTGGTACTGGAGATCCTGGGAGATTATCCAGGAGTTCCTGGACTTTTTGTGGCTGGGACTTACAGTGGAACATTAAGGTAAGTTTGAGTCATGATAAAATACTCCGTAAGTATTGGTATCTATCCAGTCTTTTTTGTCCTGTATTGGCAATAAAAGTCCCAGTTTGGTCTAGCATGGGGATTTCTTTGGCTCCAGGATTGCCAGGTCTCAGGACATGGCCTCTGAGGCCTCTTCCACACTGCTATATAATCCAGATTATCAAAGCAAATAACTCACATATAATCGGCTTGAGTCACCTTCAGGCTGAAAAAGGCAGGATAGAAATACCATAAATAAATAAATAAGTAAGTAAATAAATACATTTCAAAGCAGATAATTTTGATTTTATATGGCAGTGTAGAAGGGGCCTAAGTTTCAATCTGGATCAAAGTAACAGGGTCTGAACTAAAAAACCTCAGCGTTTGAACTCGTTCACATTTAACTAACTTTTTCTCATACCTTTTGACATTATGGCTTCCTTTTGAATGATTTTGTGTGTGTGTGTGTATAGGCGGTCCCCAAGTTACAAAGGTTTGTTCTTAAGTTGAATTTGTATGTTAGAACAGGTACATTTTAAGTGTAACTCCAGCCATCTCTCTCTCAGAGCTTTGGATAGCATAGGGAATTCTGGTGTGTATCCATTACTCCCACCAATTGCACTATCTTTCCATGGTGGTGGGATCATGTGCTTCTGTGAGAAGAAATGCTGTGTTGATAGCAACACTGCTGGTAGTGTCTATGGTGTTTGTTTTGCTGTCAGTGTCCCTGTTCAGAAAATTTCACCTAACTTCCTGTCTCAATTGGATTTTGGAAAATTTGACTTGTTGTGTAAACAAGGACTGGTGATAAAACATCAGTGTAGACTCCTTTTTCTCATGATTACTTTTTCAGAAGTGAATTTCCCTTCCAAGGGCTAGATTTTCTCTTCCTGTTGACTCACATTCTATTCTTAACTATGAGTCATCTGCAAGTCAGATGTTTGTAAGTTGGGGACTGTCTGTATATGTATAAAAATAATCATCAGTGGTTGGACGTAGTAATTCTCCTTTTTCTGCAAAGCATATTCACAATGTGTTTGAAGAAACGTATTGATCACAAAATGCACTCTTCTCATCATAGTACATATAAGACTGCTTTGGAATGGCCTTTAGGCCAAACAAAAAGTTATGTCTTGATGCTTTCTGCAGTGCTTTATAAAAAGGGGATCCATCACATCAACAAGCTGAATGTCAGAGTTAGTCTCTCCTCCAGTAGTGTAATTAGGGGTGCTGGTATGCCTCAAACAAAATATGTTTCATCACTTTTGTAACAGAATTTATATATGCTGTTTGTATGGAGAGGGATAAACGTGTATAAGAATAGAATAATTTTGAGGCATATTGACTCATAATTTAATCCTTACTTTCCTTTGTATGCAAGAACATGTTTAACTTACTGTATATACCCTTGTATACATTGAAAATTCTATATCCAGAAATTGACACCCCCCCCCCCAAATGGGCTGACTTATCTATAGGCCAGTGCTGGAAACAGATAACAATGATACCAGCTTAGTGAATTCTCTGCTCCTTGCCATTTTAGGTACTTGAGGTGGAGCAGGGTGGCAGTGGCTATTTTTTAATAGGGCATACTGTATAATCCTCATAGTGGTAGGGCGTAGTAAGGCATGGCAATTTTCTGCAAGCCTTCCCTCTTCCTCACTTTCATTTTTAGCTTGTGTTGTGTTTAATAGCAACATGCGATGCCCATGAATGTGATATGTCCACCATTTTGGGTGCTTGAGGTGGAGCAGAAGAACAGCAGTCATTTTTGAAAGGAACTCACCATATAAGGCTCACCTCACACTCGTCTCTCTGTAGTCCTCCCTCATTTCTCTTCTCCAGCTTTCTTGAGGAGGCAAGCAGGATGTCTGCAGGCAGTGAAGTTATGCCAGAGAGTGCAGGCAAAAGACAAGAAATCAGCAGCCTCTTCAGCCAAATATCCCTTATCACTGTTCGTCTTTTCTCACTCACCATTGTATGTATGTATATATATATATATAAGAACTGTTTGGCTAAAGGCTAGCATCTTTGTATCCCAAGAGGCTCGGCCTATAAATCACACAAAAAATAAAAATAGCTGCAGCTCTGTATGCTATTTTCTCTACCAACTTTCCTGTCGGTGAAATTTGCAGGGTGGATCAATTCATCTACCTACTTCAGATATTGTAGAGTGTCCAGATATGCTTTTGTAAAAGGAAACTTTGGTAGGTGAGTTTTGTGAGTTCTTGTTTCTGCTGTTTCTCAGATCATCTTTGTTCACTCTGCTGCTCATTTTTTGAAATATTCATAATATCCTAGTCAAAATGTATACAAAATATTTTGATTTTATATTCCTCAGCACAGTGTCTTCTAGCATCAATGCATTAGCTGCTGTTACAGTAGAAGATCTTATTAGACCTCATTTCACGTTATCCGAATCAAGTTTACAGTGGATTAACATGGGAATGAGTAAGTTTTTTTGTCACTGTTCCTAAGATGTCGCTTGACTTACACTAGAAAAGAATACAAGTGACATCAAAGTATGTCTTACTTCAAGTGAATCATATTAAACCAAAATATAAAAAGAGTGATTGTATTATAATTTGAACGAAAGGAGGAAACACAGTGTTTTAAATATTCTGTGCAAATAGAAGCTGGCCAATTAATTCAAGCAAATTTCTTAGCTCTAGTTTTATAAAACGTAAAAAGCATTTGGACTTATTAACAGAATTTCTGAGCAAAGTATCCCTGTTGTGGTGAGATATCAATCAATCCATCAGTTTTGCTTAGGGCAGGTGGAAGTAGCAGATAGTTTTGGTGAATCAGATTTTCATTCTCCAGAATTTTATCCTGTTTATTACTAACCTGCTCTGTTGGGCATCATTGTTGAGTTCAATATTTACAATCTTGTAGTTAATGATTAAGGCTGGATCTACACTGCCATATAATCCAGTTTCAGAATGCAGATTAACTGCTTTGAACTGAATTACATGAGTCTACACAGCCATATAATCCAGTTCAATATATTTAATCTGCATTCAGAAACTGGATTATACTCTTAGGCCCCATCTGTGTAGATGGGGCCTAAGAGTATTCCCATCTCACATGTCTGCAAACAATGACAAGAAACAAGGTGTTTAGGACACATTATATGCTTTTAAGTATGGTACGGTGTTTCTCCTACATATTTGATTATGGCCATATAAAATCAAGATTGTCAGTGTAGAAAAGGCCTGAGGGCCCTTCCACTTCCCTTTATCCCAGGTTATCTGCTTTAAACTGGAATATATGTCCCCACTGCCAGATAACTTGGGATAAACAGATAATCTGGGATCAGATCCTGAGATAAAGGGGCATCTATCTGATGATCTGATGTGAGGTTGGGCCTCCAAAACCCTGCTAGGCCTACGCCTTCAGGGCAGAAGTGAGAAATCAACAGAGAAGACTCATTCAGTTCGTTTCCTTCTGATCTGAGGAGGCGTGTCAAATTTCCTCCCCTTCAAAAAACAGGAGGAAAATTATTTATGCAACTCCTATGGGATTATGTCATGGCTAGACAGCAGGACGTTTTTTGATGCCACCATTCTGCAGTGCAGCATGTTACACATCCCCTTGTGAAGATATGTGGTCAGATCTCCCCATAACAGATCCCTACGATTCTCTGACCTTGGACAAAAGGATCCAGTCTTTGTGGACGTTCGGATGCCCTCCAGACTAAGTGTTTTAGAGTCTGTGTCAGATGTGGAGTGAAGATTAGTCCCAGATTGAGATCAATCTTTAGTCAATGAAGCAATCTCTCATATAATTTGTTCTTGGCCAAAACCATCAGTTTCAAAATTCTAAGAAGTTGATGTATCAGAGAGGTGCAAAGTGCCAGGTAAAATGTGAAGTGTGATTTGCATTGTGGATTTATTTGCGTTATGAACTTCCCACAAGTCATAAGTGGAATACAATTATATCTGTATAAAATGTTTTAGACATGAAAAATAAAATATATGTATATAACTTCCTGTTTATTGCACTACATGCTAATTTCACTTTTAAATGAATATCTAGCACTTAGTTTTGCATTTTAAAAATTGTTTCAATATTCATAGCCTTATAAAGGAAGAAAGAATATGACATTATACTGGTTTGGTAATTCTCAGAAGCAAATCTGAGCAAATGTATAATTAATTTATTATTTTTAAGGATAGAAATTGATCTTAAGCCTTTCAATCAGTTACAAATTCAAATAATCACATAAACTTTGTACACATTTATCTATTTAGATATTTTCTTTGGTGCAGTGTGCCTTTCCATGGCTGCAATGGCATCTGCTATGGGTGCTCTGTTACAGGTAAATTGCAAATTGCTACTAGTCTTCACCTACCCTATTAATTTGGATCAAAGCATCAAGTGAATTTTATGTAGAAGGCTTACAACATTCAAAATTACACACATTCAGTCTTTTCATAGAAAACTAAATTTATCCCTCAGCTTTTACCAGCTTTTGAATGAAAACTGTGTAGAAGTTTCATCCAAAGACCAACTGAGAGAGCATGTAAAGCTACCCACTTCCAAGTTCGTGAAGACTCCAGTAAACTGTAATGAAGATCAATTCAGAATATAGTATATAGTGACCCAAAAAAAATCAGATGGAAAAATATGTCCAGAGGGCGGGAATGTAAATATTTACTTATTTTGTTCCTGCATGCAACAATTATCTCTCTATCCCATGAAAAAATGAAAATATTGATGTAATTTTGATCACTATTCCTATTCTGCTGTTCTTCTTAGTTAATCCACAACAGTTGACATATTTATCTGTTTATACACAGATAACACATTTTGACCCAGTATGTTCCACTTAGTGTTGAACTGTATTCTCAACATCATTGCCTATTCATCCAGTTTGAAGATTTCCTTCTGGAGTGTATTATAGGACCTAATTCATCTTGAGTGCTCACCTCTCCCCCTTTCATTCTATCGATTAAAAACTAATAGGTCCAGTATAGATCCTTGTGGGATTCACTTTTTGTGTTGTCGTTTATTCTTACTCCTGCTTGCTGTTACTCAGTCTTTTACCAGCATATAAGGGCAGTACCAGACAGCACTTCAACCTGAGCACAATTGTGTTTCTTAAATGTGATTGCGCCTGGGTTGAAGTCCAGACACCTCCCCCCAACATCTGGACTTTCCTGGGGGGTGGGTGGGTGTCCAGATGCCCTGCTGGATGTTACAATGGCACCTGGGCACAAAAGAAACCCCCCTGAAAAGCCTTTATAAAAGAAAATAACTTACTGGGACAGCATTTGATCTTGCAGCACACTTCCTGGCATGTACCAATTACGCATGAGGAGGCAGGAGCAATTCTTCCCCCCCCCCCCCCCCCCCCCCCCCCGCCGCTTCCTTGCATGTAATTGGTACATTCCAGGAAGTGTGCTCCAAGGCCTAATGACTGCCAGGTAGGTTAGTTTCTATTTGAAAGACTTTTGTGGGGTTTTTTGGGAAGGTTGTGGGGGCCATCTCGCATCTCTGGGCTCCAGGAACCCAGAAGGTGAGAGATGAGTGTATGGACAGGACCCAGGGAAGTCCCAGGACTTCCCATGGACCTGTCCATACAGGGCCCATAGCCCATTACACCCATGCCTTTCACAAAGGCACAGGTCTAATGGCTATCTAATTAATTTGGGTAAAGCAGGGTTTTCCTGCTTTGTCTTGAATTAATCCTCTTTTACTGGAGGTATCGTTTGGCCACCCTCCATTTTAAACCAGGAGCTCCTGGAATAAAGCTATTGTCTGGATGGGCCCTGAGAGAGTCTGTAATGTTTTTGTATGATTTCTGCATTTACTTGCAAGTTTTGGTGAAGAACTTTCTCAAAATCTCTTGAAAGCCCAGGTACTCAATACCTGTAGGCTATTCCTAGCCACATGTTTGTTGATACTCTCTAAAAGGTTAAACCATGACTTGTTTTCTTAATTGCAGTGGGCCCTCAATTCACTTGTCTTTGTTTCCATCCAGCATAGAGTTTGTTTCCAGTTTGGAGGGAGGAGCTACCTACTACAGAATGCTGTTTGTCATCCGATGGAAATGAATATTCATATGAAGTCTTGTATAATCATTTTTTGTGATTTAGGTCTGTGTTGTTGTTTTTGTCTTTTAGGCTGCACTCAGTATTTTTGGAATACTTGGTGGACCTCTTTTGGGAATATTTTCTTTGGGTATGCTGATGCCTTTTGGAAATGCTAAAGTATGTATTAATTGGGTTGCTTTGTGTTTTCCGAGCTCATTATACATCTTTCTGTTGCTAAATAGGTTCATGTGAGAAATGTCATCTTATATTTTCTTTTTCTGTCATTTCAAAGATATATGTATGTGCATATACATTCATTGGAATGTTTTTTTTTTAGATATAACATGAAGCCACGAGTGGTATAATGTTAATGAATAGTTAGGAGCTTCATCTACTGTCCTGTCTCCTTTCCTCTTGTGTGGAGTTTATTTCATATCTCCAATTTTGTTGCAAACATTTCATCTGTACTGGCAAACTAGAGTTTGCCTTAAACCAAAATAGGACACAGTACACCACTGTGAAACTAGAGGAACAGAGGAGAAAATGTATGAGTCCAGACTTTGTAGTTTGCAGAAAAATTACTTTTTATGTTGTGTCTCAGACTACCTCAGTAAAACTAAATAATGCACTCAATTTAATCCGACAAAGAGTTTTAAAGTGTTCATTATTCATTGTCTAAATTGCTGCATCCCAAGGGGTTTCTATAAACCTCAGGCAAATTAAAATAAATCTGATTTTTTGTTGCAATATAGTAACAACCAACCATTGTGGATAACATTGATACTAACCAGGATTGGGGATTGGACAAGTGCAGTAAAGTAGCAAACATAAATATGTTTTAAAACAACAATGCATCCATTTCAGTATTGATGTTAACAAAGAATTCTATAGGAGTTAAGAGGGAATTTTCATATGTACTTCAAAAGAGTTCTGGAACAAACAACTTCTTCAATCTCTGGTTAAACAGATATTTCCTGTCGTAGTCACTGTGAATCGTACATTTGGTAACTCTGCGCCTGCGCAGTGCAACTTCCGGAACCTTCTAGAAAGTAAAAGAACAATTTAGTCCTCAGCTAGGCCCGCCCCCCCTCCTCCCGAGTATATATAGCCCATGGGCGGGACTAGCCGACAGTTCTCTTAATCCGCTCGTGTGTTTAGCAACTTAGAGAACCTTCTACTCGATTTCTCTTAATCTGACTAATTGCTTCGATATTCTTGGTATTTCGACCTTGGACTGTTTTCTGACGACTCTTCTGCTTAGCCCTCTTGATTCGGCGCGCTACTGGACTGATTTTGAGGTACTTCGAACCCCGGACCGGCTCCTGACACTCCGTTTGCTTGCTGATCATGGCTACCACTTCTTTTAAGAAGTGTTGTAAGTGTCTGAACATCTTGCCGGACACCGACGGGCACTCCCTTTGCCTCACCTGTTTAGGGGAGGCCCACTTGACACAAGCGTGCTCTATTTGTTCCTCGTTCACTCCTCAAACGATGGAAAACAGGGTCTCTAGACTCAGAGCGGCCCTTTACGAGAGAGCCCTGCTGCCATCCGTCGCCCCAGGGCAAACCACGGAACGCCCTCTTACCTCTCCTGGCTTCCTCCACTGGCCCGGTGAAAAAGAAGGCCAAAAAGCCTAAGGCTAAGGCCACGCAAGATGGCCGCCAAGCCCCTGCTCAAGGAAAGGGCTCGGAGGAAAGAGCGGGAAGGCTCTTGGGCTCGGGCCGCGAGGCCCTGCCGCTTGCGACTCCCAGAGCCCAATCAGAGGAGAGGCGCCCTCCGCAGCAGGCCCCGGTCTCCTTTGCGGCAGTTACGACATCGACTCCGCGAGCCGCGCATGCGACAGCCCCTGAGCTGGTCGCCCAAACGCCGCCCACTTCGGCGCTGCCGCTCCTCTCGCCCCCGCCCTTGAGCTGAGCCCAGGAGCCCCTGTTACCGCCGATCGCGGCTGAAAATACCTCGATGCCGATGGCCCTGCCCCTGTCGGCTTGCCTACAGCCAGAAACTCCTGCCACACCCCCTTCGGGGATCGAAGTTGCGGCTGACGGCTCCGCGTATCCTGCCTTAGAGGAACATGACGGCCCCTGTGGAGAAGAGCAGCCGGCTCCCAATGGGCCCGCGACCGCCCTGATACCGGCGTTCCCTTCCCAGCCCTGGCCACAGCGCTCCCTGCATAGAGGGAGCAGGAGACCGAGGCGATCCAGGTCGCCCTCCAGGAGGAGCGGGAGGTCGCGCCAACACCAGTGCAGATCGACATCGCGGCGCACTCGTTCTTCCTCGTCCTCCTCATCCTCCACATCCTCGTCTTCCTCCTCAGGGCGTTCGAGGCGGAGCAGGCATTCAAGGTCTTCAAGGACCCCTCGCTGGGGACGCCCACCCATGGGCCCGCAGCCCTACCCTGGCTTCTGGCAAATGGGACCATTGGGCCAGATGATCTTTGTGCAGGCCCCCCCACCTCCTGTGCCCATGCCAACTGTACCAGCTCAGCCATCGACGGGAACCTTGACCATCCCGATGGCCTGGCCTTTGACCTCGACAGAAGGACCTTCTGCCTCCTCCCATGCCGCCCTGAGAGGGGCTCCTTTGTGTGGACCCTCATCCGTACTGAACTCTAATGACATGAATTCATGCAATGCTACTTCTGTGCTGGTCTCATCCCAACCCCCTCCCGCCCAGGCCGGCTTACTTGGGAATGATTCCACTGCTCTGTGTATGCCGTTGCCCTGTCCACAAGGTGACTCTACCCCTATGGGACCATCTGGGGTTCCATCGTCGGGAGGGCCGGGAGAGGGGGCTGCTGATATGGATAGCTCTGACTCAGAACAAGAGCTTTCTGACCCGACCCAACAGGGGGAAGGCGAGAGTGCCTCATTCATACACCCCGCTGATGTTAACAAATTCGCAGCATTAATTTATAGAATGATTAAGGCTTTAGACATCCCCGCCCCCAAACCTCCCGAATACGTGGAGGATCCGATGTTTCCGTCCGAAGAACAGGTTATAACCCCTTCTCCGTTGCCTGTATTACCATACCTGTTAAAGTTACCGAAGGTAGCAGATATGTCCCCCTCCCTAGTTCCTGCTGTCCCAAGGAGACTGGATTCACTCTATAAGATTGATGTATCTTCTGCAAAATGGGTCACGGCCCCTCCTAGACCAAACACAGTGGTGGCTGAAGTCGCAAAGACCAAGCGACCCAAAAAATTCACTTACGCCCCCCCCTGACAGGAAGGGCAAGAAAATAGATACCCTGGGAAAGAAAGTACATTTCTCCGCAGGGCTATTCACCCGGATGGCGCATATGCTAGTGGCTATCAAACTTTTTTATGGGGGAAGATTTTGCCATATATTGATTTGTTACCAACTGACCAACAGCGGTTTCCCAGGGCACTGCATGCCGAGGCCCTGGCATTATCAAAAATGCAAAAAGAGTTTGCAAAGCATATGGCGGAGGCGGCGGGCAGCCTTTTCTCTACAGCCACCTCAGTTAGGAGGCACGCATGGCTGCGGGTCTCCAACCTCTCTGAGGAAGGGAAGGCCCTGGCAGAGGACCTTCCCTTTCACGAGGAGGGCCTCTTTAACCCTCAAACGGATGACAGATTGAAACAAAAGCAAGACGTGAGGCAGGCTGGGGCAAGTTCGGCTACGTATGGCAGCCCTACACCCAGCAACGTCAAATGTGGAACCTACCCTCTTCGAATTTTCGCAGGAATTATGGGAACTCCTACGGGGGCCCCTTTAGGAACAGGAACAACAACTCTTCCAGGTTCCAGGGTGGGAGTAGAAGCCCCTACTTCTCGGGGCCCCGTAACCAATCGTTCGGTAACAAACCCAAACCTCAGGCGGGGCCTAAGAAGCGTCTTTGACGCACTTACCCAGGAATCTGCCATTGAACTGGTTGAAACTCCTCTGCCTGTTGCAGCACATCCGGTTCCCACTGTTCAGGACTGTTCGCCTGCTGTTGTCCATCAATTTGGAGATAGGTTATGGTTTTTCTACCCTGCATGGTCGAGCATTACGACAGATAGATGGGTACTTTCTATCATTGCCCAAGGATACTCAATTGAGCTTCTGGATCAACCAAGGGTAGGCCATGTTAGGTGTACCTTACCCCCCTGCTGGACGATGTTAAAATGCTGCTAGAGAAGGGTGCTATCTCACCTTTGAGTCCTTCTATGTTCCCATACTGTTTTTTCTCCCGCTATTTTCTGATTGCGAAGCGTGGAGGTGGGCTGCGTCCCATCCTTGACCTCAGACACCTGAATAAACATATCCGGCCTAAAAAATTCCGGATGGTTACACTTGCCTCCATTTTGCCTTTATTGTCTGAAGGTGTATGGTTTGCCACCATCGACCTAAAAGATGCGTATTTTCATCTGTCGATCGCCCATCACCACCGTAGATTCCTAGCTTTTATGGTGGGGAACCAGGCGTACTGTTTTAACGTCCTCCCTTTTGGACTGTCCACAGCTCCTCGGGTGTTCACAAAATGCATGTCGGTGGTGGCTGCGTACCTACACACAAGGGGGTTACAGTGTATCCTTACATTGACGACTGGCCAATCGTTTCGAGGTCATGGGGCAAGCTTCAAACCCAAATTTCTTGTGTTCTGTCCCTTCTCCAGTCCCTGGGCCTCGTTGTCAACATCGACAAATCGTGTCTGTCCCCTTCTCAACGGATCACCTTCATCGGTGCCAAGTTGGACTCGGTCGCCCAGAGGGCCTTCCTTCCACCAGTCCGCTTTGCCAACCTGAGGGATCTGGTTCAACGGGTTATACATTCCCCCTTCGTGACGGCCAAGCAAGTTCAGATCCTGTTGGGGCACATGGCCTCCACCACTGCCGTTACACCGTATGCCAGACTGCGCATGGAACCCCTCCAGTCATGGTTTGTCTCAACATTCAACCCTGTCACGGACAAGTCCTCTGTGCGGCTCATGCCACCTGCCAATGTTTGTTGGTCCCTCCACTGCTGGCGGGATGCGCCATGGGTGTGTGCGGGACTCCCCTTCTACCCCCCCACCTACCCGGGTGATTACTACGGATTCTTCCCTTATGGGGTGGGGAGCTCACACGCAGGGCCTCGTCGCCCAAGGCATTTGGGTAGGAGAGGAAAGCACCCTGCACATAAACGTCTTAGAACTCCTTGCGGTGGAAGGGGCTTTGATGTCCTTTGAAAGGGTTATAAGGGGACGAGTGGTACAAATTTTCACCGACAACACCACGGTGATGTACTACCTCTACAAACAGGGGGGCACCCATTCTCTTCCACTACTGAACTTGACCATTCGAATCTGGGACTGGTGCCTAGAACGGGGTATACACCTTCTGGCAACGCACCTCCCAGGGGAGCAGAACCTGTTGGTGGACTTACTCAGCAGGAGCCTCTTGACCCACTGGTCTCTCAACCAGTGGGAGACCCTGAGACTTTTACAAGCATGGGGGACTCCAGAGGTGGATCTGTTTGCGACCTGGGCCAACACAAAGTGCGCTCTATTTTGCGCACGGACTCGGGCCTCAGCCGGGACAGGTTGTCTGGGGGATGCCTTCAAGACTGGTCGAGCCGCCCCTCGTACGTGTTTCCACCCTTTCCTCTTCTCCTGAGGTTGGTGGCCAAGATCCAAAAAGAGGTTGCTCGGTGCATTTTGGTAACCCCCTGGTGGCCCCGGCAACCATGGTTTTCCCCTCTGCACCAGATGGCGGGAGGGATATTCTTTCGTTTTCTGGACAGAGTGGACCATCTGATGTCGCAGGGCGACCAGGTCTTGTACCCAGAAGTCCACAAGCTGTGACTAACAGCGTGGAGGATTAGACCATCCCCTTAGCTCCAATTGAGACGCTGTCCGCTCCTGTGTTAGCGATCCTCAAGGCTGCCCATAGGGCCTCGACGAGAAGATCTTATGTTTATAAATGGTTGAGGTTTAGTTCTTTTGTCCGATCTAAGGGTCTCGACCCCATCAGGGTTCCAACACCTGTTCTGGATTTCTTGGTGTCATTGTCGGAGGCGGGCTTATCCCACTCCTCTTTGAAATGTTATGTAGCTGCCCTTTTGTGGTTTCGGCAAAAGTCAGGTTTACCGTCATATTTTACTGATCCGTTAGTTAAGACCTTTCTAAGAGGGTTTTGCTAATGTTAGACCTCCGGTGGCCCCGATCGCCCCAGCATGGAGCCTGGAGGTTGTGTTGTCCGCTCTCTCGAAACCTCCTTTTGAACTCTTAGCCAGGATTGACCTCTTTCTTGTCATGGAAGACTGCCTTCCTTGTGGCAATAACGTCAGCTAGACATTCCAGTGAACTATGTGCTCTATGGGTAAACCCCCCCCCCCGTATCTCAAATTTCATAGAGATAGGGCAGTCTTGAGGAAAGATGTAGCTTTCTTGCCTAAGGGTGCTATCTCACCTTTGAGTCCTTCCTCCACGCGGTTTCACATGTCACAAGAACTGGTGTTGCCAGGTTTCTTCCAGAATCCATCCACTCCCACGAGCGTTCTCTGCATCTACTCGATGTGTGCAGAGCGCTTGCTTTCTATGTGGATAGAATGACTCCCATTAGAAAGACGCCCAGACTGTTTGTAAAATATCGTAAGGATGCGTTAGGCCTTCCGTTGTCGTTCCAGAAGTTTTCGTCCTGGATAGTTTCGGTTATCCGGTTGTGTTATTGCCTGGCAGGCAGGGACTTACCCTTGCAGGTTAAGGGGCCACTCCACGAGAGCTGTGGCAACATCTACGGCCTTCATGAAAGGAGTGGCTCTGGATGCCATCTGCCGGGCGGCTGTTTGGTCGTCTCCCTTGACCTTTGTGTCGCTTTATAAGGTGGACGCGGTTTCTGAAAGGGATATGGAATTTGGTAGAACGGTGCTATCTTCGGTGGTGGCATGATCCCGCCAGCCGAGGTTATTAGCTCGTTAATCTACCATATGTACGATTCACAGTGACTACGACAGGAAATTATAAGTTGCTTACCTGTAACTGTAGTTTCCTGAGTAGTCACCTGTGAATTCGTACATACCCGCCCTTCCTCCCCTCGAGTATCATGCCACGCCTTCTAGCTGTTTTTGCGGCTGAAGAGAACTGTCGGCTAGTCCTGCCCATGGGCTATATATACTTGGGAGGAGGGGGGGGCGGGCCTAGATGAGGGCTAAATTGTTCTTTTACTTTATAGAAGGTTCCAGAAGTTGCACTGCGCAGGCGCAGAGTTACGAAATGTACAAATTCACAGGTGACTACTTAGGAAACTACTGTTACTGGTAAGCAACTTATAATTCTTTAATAATGTTGCTTTTAAAAGTTTGCATTCATAGCCTACATTTTCACTCTAGAGTTCCTTTTCCAGTATATTCTCAAATGTGCACACATGGTTGGAAAGCATCCATTTCCTTCAAAAAAGTAGATCCGGAGCCCAGTTTTTTTTAGATTTGTTTCTTTTGTCATTAAACAAAACTTCACAATGTTTTTGTTTCTCAGGGTGCATTTACTGGGCTCGTTTGTGGATTCACTCTTGTATTGTGGATTGGGGTTGGCTCTCACACATACCCTCCACCGTCTTATAGAACACTGCCATTGCCTCTTTCTACTCATGGTTGCAGAAAAATCAATGTCACAACAGCTTCACCAACAACAACTACTATGCCTCTTCCACCTACTCCAAGGTATGCACAACAAAGCTTTTGCATAATTGCTGAATTTTTATATTCTTTAGTTTGTTTTTTATATTACTTCATTTGTTTTAGTTCTTGTAAAGCTTTTCTTTTTTATTAATTTTTAGTATCCTATTTTTGGCCTCTTTGCTCTGTCATTTGGAAACCAAAGTATGGCACAAGCAGTAAACAAATATACAATAGAACATGGGTCTTGTGATGTCTTGGCCTAGCCGTTTCCCTCCTCTGTTTTACTTCCTTGTTTTGTTCTCTCTTTGGAGGGTTTTTCCATTTGTGCATAGTTTTAGTGGTGGAGCTTAAAACCCCCTAGAAGCCTGGCTCTGTTGGTTTAGCCCTCTTTCCCTCAGAACTTGTCTGAAAGGCTTTTCCCTCCTTTTTTTTGGTCTATGCCAGAATTTTAGAGAAAGCCAGAAATAGTTTGTACCAGAGTTTTAGAGGAGAAGGCCAGAAATTGTCTGGGTTCCTTGGCCTGGCAATCTAAACAGGCATTCTATAGCACGTATTTACCAATGATACATACCTCATAGACCTTCATAGCTGTATTTACCATCATCATAGCTTAGTACTTGCCACTATAACCCAGAGTGCTTTACCGTTGTAGCTTGTACCTTTACCATTTAATTATTATAGTTCTGTACTTTACCAATTTAGTTCTGTATTATATTAATAGTCAAGTACCTTACTGAAGACAATTATAGTCAAGCATTTTACCTTGTTTTATGAATATATCCAAGTGTTTATTACCAGTGTTACCAAATTCAGTCAACAAACTTCATCTTTGTAATATTTTATTTTGATTTGCCTTTCAAGAATTCTGACTGAAGTTATCTTTGCCTTTTGTTTCCAGTAAATTTATTTGGTTAACTTTAATCCTGTCTCAAGAGTCTTTATTTTTAAAGAACTGAAGTGCATCAGAGGGTATACTAATAGCCACTGGGAATAGCCAGATGTATAGTTTTTCCTTCACCCCACTGTGCCATCACAGGTCTAGATATGTTTTTATTAACTAACAGTAATTTATTTGTTTGAAAAAGGATTTGATCTTCAGTATATGAATTATTAAAGGTTACATTTCAAAATTACTAGAGCCAGATCAATATTAATGCAATTTCTGTGGTTTGATATTCAAAGAAATCCATCAATTTGCTTAAGACAATGATTCCCACAGCCCACAGGCTGAGAACTACTAGTTTAAGGTGACACCAAATTTCAGCCAAAGAAAAAGAAGACAAATGTGTATCTACTTTATTTATACTGTACATAATATTGCTGAATTGTTTGGTAAATTTGCCTAAAAAACTAGTGCTACACTTCCTATAAGTTCATAGTTTGGGGATTCTACTGTATTCAGTATTGTCTGTTTAAAAACCGATGTTAGGAGTGCACTTCTGTCACGTTGGTGACGTCTTTTACAAGAAAAGAATATTTGCATCCAAACTGACAGTAGGAAAAGGACAATGTGAGGCTCTGTCTTTGAATATGACTTGGGAATCTTAGTTGATGTCACTCATTTGATCTTTATGAGGGCTAGACAGTTGAGTCATGTCATTTCAATTCTGCACTAACTGCTGGAGGTTTTTGAAGGCACTATTCTTTATTTTTAGGCGCTCTCCTCCCCCAAATTCTGGGCACTGGGGCCTTTGTCAAGCTCGCTGTAGGCTGCATATTATTTCTCATCCTTGATATTGGTTGCATTACGTTTTAACTACTTTGCATATATCATTGGAATATAACATTAAACTTTCCCCCCCCCTTCCAGACCAGCTCTTCAAGAATATTGGTACTCCTTGTCGTATCTTTACTTCAGTACATTAGGAACTTTGGTCACATTTTTTGTGGGAACAGTAATCAGCTTAGCGACAGGTAACATTTTCTAATTTCAGTTTAAATGTAGACATTTCTATTTATCATTTGTTCACATTTCTGTTGCTGTATGCTCTAATATTCTTTTGGAAGGTAGCCTCATGGGATCTGAGGTGTTCAAAAGGCTGCATCTTAATTCTTCTTTGTTGTCTCTTTCTTGTTAAATGCACTCTGTACTTAGGGAGTAATTCATTCATACATTCCACCATTCTTTTCCTGTAGCAGGGGAGATAAATTATGCATTTGTAGTCACAATTTTGATACTATTTCCATGTCTGTAAAATTCATACATTAGAGAAAATATATTAAAAACACATTAATTTCTTTGTGTAAAGGGGAAACATGTTTTGCAGTTCCATGTGGAATTAAGATAGGATGAGAATACTGGTGGGATTCGGTGAAATTCAGTACCAACAAGACAGTTGGATCTTCACATTCCAAATCCAGGCTGGTTAGTTGGATTCTGTTTAGCTTTTTGCTCCAGTCAGTTGCAGAAATGTGGCTGGATCCTTCTCTGTGCATTTATTAGTTAAAGGAGCACATTCCTGCCTTTTGGAAACTGTTTTATATTCCTAGCTGGGAGGAAGTGCCTGTCCATGTATAATATTGTGCTTTGTCCCATGCAATTCAGACTCTTGGCTAAGACCAATGACTATCCAGAGCAATTTCGACATTCAGTGTATGGCTCATAGTTTCAGAGGATATTGGGAGAATATCCCTCCAAATGAGGAGTGAATAAGCAGCTGGTTCATTGCCTGAACTGCATCCATCTTAATGAAATGCATAATATAGGACTTACAGTTCATTCAATTTTTTTAGGAGGATTACAGCAAGAAGTAGATCGTAAACTTCTGTTTGGTAAAGAGGATTTTTTAGACAACTTTATATACTGGAGATCTAAATGGGTAGGTATAGTTTTGAAAATATTTCATATTGTTCCTAGAACTGTTTTTAAAATGGGAGGGCTCAAGATTATCAGGGAAGTCATTATGATTTTCATCTCATTTTAAATGGGTTTTTAGAGAATAATAAAAACACAAAATATACACCATAGATATTTCCCATTAAATCTAACATTGTTTTTGCACTTAAACTTATTGATTTCAGTAGACAAAAAAAACAAACCCAAATAACACTTATAACCCTATGACATTTATAACCATTGTGGTTACAGGTACAACTATACGATAGGATGCATGCTCCAAAGCAGGTGGCACCTAAAGAAGAGATAGTGGAAGAGGTAACGGAAGAGATAGCGGAATAATCTCCATCGATGTAGAGGGTACTCTAATTCTGTGGGTTATATAGAGAAGAACTATACTACAAGGACAAAAAACTAAGAAAACAGCATGGAATGCTGTGGTATACAAAGTATAGAAATGTTTAATTTTTACTAATTGAAATTTGAAAAGCAAAGTCCATGTTTTATAAATGATCTAATTTTAAAACTATTCTGTAGCAAGTTGATAACCAGAAGATAAGAAGTTGTGTAAATTCAAGTCGGTGGTAATAAACAATCCAATAAGTCAAATATTTAAATGCTTACTATTCATGTAATTCCCCAATTTACCAATGTAATATTTATGTAATATTTTATTTGACCCTTTCTTACGTTTGAATAAAAAAGAACTTCTGTGAATGCATTAAAAATGCTAATTTTTAAAAAAGTTTATCAATATCAAAGTGCCATTTTGTACATTTCAGCAGGTAGCATTATTCCATACTGGCATCCAACTTATGTATGACTCATAGTTAAGAATGGGGATGAGACAAGGGAGTGGAGAATAATCTACCCCTAGGAAAGGAAATTCATTTCTGGAGGAAAGTTATCATTGGGGAAAGGTACTTCTTTTGAAACTTTTATCACTAATCCTTGTTTCCACAACAAGTCACATTTTTCAAAATCCCATTATTACAGGGACAGAAAGTGAGGAGAAATCTTATGAACAGGGGCAGAGGCAGCAAAACAAACACACAAGGGAGTTAACTCTTATTCTCTCCAATGCACACACACACACACACACATATATATATATACATACACACACACACACGCACACACACACACACATATCTACACACACATATATATATATACACACACACACCATATATATATTTGGCTGGAGTTAACACTTTAAAAAGGTGACTGCTCCAACTTGCATGCAAATTCAACTTAATAACAAACTTGGGGACTGCCTGTACCAAGATACAGCATAAATCCAAAGGGTAATTAATAAAATAATCTGTTATCCTTTGTATTGCAAATGTGAAGTCATAGGTAAATTGTTTTAAATGAAAAGCATTGTGTCAGTTGGAAATCTCTTTTGTCAGAGTTTCGTTAACAGACCTAGGCCTGTAATACGAGTCAATGAAATTGCAAGCATGATTAACACTTTCTAAAATAAATATCAAAATATATCAACAATGCTTAAAAACAAAAGCTAGAGACTGATGCATGAATGCTAGCAATAAAACTGGATATTCCCCATTAAAGCTCCACTGTCTTCCAAGTTTTGGTGAAAAAGAGAACAGATCAGATTGAATCACTACATAAAAAGCATTGTATCTTCTGCCTGCTTGATGTGTCTCAAAATGACACAGAAGGCAAGGTCTTTGGCACTCCTTAAATCTAAGTTGGGAGAAAATGCTTCCCAAGGTGGTCCTGTTCTAATTATTTCAGTCATTTAGATGATCTTCGTCATTCAGATGATCTGTTCCTCAGCTTTCACGCGGATCACAATATCCTCTCTAATTGCCTCCATTTGTATCTATTTTGAGCATGAGTTGACCAGTGGTGGCCCCCCGACTCTGGAACTCTCTCTCCAAGGACATCAGACAAGCCCCAACATTGGCAATCTCTAGGAAGAGCCTGAAGACGTGGCTGTTCCAGTGTGCCTTTCCAGAATAGGAAACTCCTGGCATCATGTCCCAAATGCACTTTGTTAGTTTTAGGATTGTTTGCACATTGCACCTACCTCCAAAAAACCTCTACATATCACCTGTCAAGTCCAGCACTTTTAAAATTTGTCCATTACATTTGGCCCGGCCTTTAGGTTTTAAATACGTCATGGTGTCATTGTTTTTAGTGTTTTATTGTTTGCTTGATGTTTTATTATTTGCTTATGAGTTTTATTGTTGTATTTGTATGCTGTTGTTGTTGTTGGCCTTGGCCTTGTAAGCCGCATTGAGTCCTTTGGGAGATTTTGCAGGGTGTAAATAAAGTTAATAATAATAATAATAATAATAATAATAATAATAATTGTAAGACCATGTTAATCTGTCACATTATATGCCATACGGAATGAATCAGACCATTGGGTGGGAGGATGACCAAGAGGTCTCATCCATCCCTGTGGGTACCATGGTGTTGTGGCATTGCTCCAGCACCCGTATCTGTTCTGTGCATCACGTGGCTTGCAAAGCAATGTTGGAGTTGGGCAACATGGCGTAGAGCAGTGGTTCTCAACCTGGGGTCCCCAGATGTTTTTGGCCTACAACTCCCAGAAATCCTAACAGCTGGTAAACTGGCTGGGATTTCTGGGAGTTGTAGGCCAAAAACATCTGGGGACCCCAGGTTGAGAACCACTGGCGTAGAGGATCTTTCACTTTTGATATTTTTCAAACATCCTCATCTGTTGAGTTGAACAATTGAGCTTGTAGAGATATACTTTCAGTTGAATCTGCAGTGGCTTTAATAGAATTGTAAGCAGCCCATCCTGATTTTCTGTATCAGTTCAATTCTGGCTTCAGTTCATTCCTTGATGTTAACAGCCTTCCAATGTAGATGTATTATTCTACATTTTTGAGGTCAACACCATCTACAGTCACTGCTGCACCATCTGCAAAGTTGGTACTGCAATCGTATCCTTGGCCTCATCGTGGCATGGGGGTGACAACGGTCAATCCAGCTAATATGGAGAGACATAGAATTAAGTACGATGTAATCAGACTGAGTGAAATGCAAAGGAAAGATCCCCTGCAATGCATACAAACGATGTACCATTATATACTTAGAAGAAAAAATTACTGACTCAATATCCAGCGGAGTAGATTTTATCGTGGCCCCACAATTCAAGCATTGTGTCGTTGACATATGCTTCAATCAAAAGTTCATCTCAACCAGAACAGCATCAAGTTGGACCAACTGTTGAACTTTTATTTATTTAGTATCAAAAGCATTGCATAAATTAGTATAAAACCAATAAAAATAGAAGGAATACAGGTTGCTAAATATCTTTTGACCAACAGCAATGGCATTGTCTGTAGCCTCCAACAATTCTTCCTCTGTACATGAGGCAGGGCATAGTGGACAAGCATACAGACGTGGAGTTGTCTGTTCTGTTCCAGTCACATAAGGTGTGGGATTCTTTTAGGTAGTGCCATTTTGCCAGGTTGTCTTTTGATCTGCCCACTCCGCTTCTGAGTCTGTTCAGGGACTTCCACATTGCCCATTCTTGGTTTGCTCCTGTAGGAACACCCTCGTGGGGAGCCATCCAGTTGGGATTTCCTGGCCTAGTTGCCCAGAGGGATACCCTTGCTGTTGCTGGAGGGATGCCAAGAGGAGTGGTAGTTCTCATAAAACTTTTCTTTGATTTGAGTCGACTGGGAGAAGGCTGGTAGCCATGTAGTGGGTGGCTTTCACAGTGTTCAATCTTATTTCTCTCACATTTAGCAGCAACTTCGCGTCACACATCGGGGGGGGGGGGGCAATGCCAGCTAGCTTGTAGAGTTTATCAACAGGTGTAGGTTTAAGACATCCCGTGATTATTCTGCATGCTTCATTCAATGCTGTGTTCACCTGCTTTGCATGGGCAGACCTATGCCAAACAGGGCAGGCATGCTCGGCAGTTGAGTAAGACAAGGCTAGGGCTGATGTTCTTACTAATTTTGGGTCTGCACCCCATGTTTTGCCAGTAAGTTTCTGCAGGATGTTATTGTGTGCAGCTACTTTGTTCTTGGTGTTCAAGCAGTGTTTCCTATATGCCAGTGTTCGATCTAAGGTGGCACTGAGATATTTAGGATGGAAACAATGTTCAAGCTCTTGACCTTCCCAGGTGACTTTCAATTTCCTGTTACAGTTGAACTGAGAATCCCCATGACAACTATAGAGTGAGGAGAAAAGGGCGGGCTGCTCTAACGGTCAGTTAGGAGTTAGCTCGTGAATGTCCGTTGCTGCCTGCGTGCGCGCAGGAAATATCACATGTGTGAATTCACAGGCTACCACTCGGGAAACTATGTTTACAGGTAAGCAACCTATATTTTTCGCACTTTGCTTGACATTGACGAAGACTACTAACAACTGAACGGCCACAACCCATGCCTCTTGCCATGCCACAAGAAGGCTGTTGAAAGAAATTAGTTATTTGTTTGAGAAAAGAAGAAACGACAATCGATTCTTTCCTGAATTTCACAAAATACCCAGGACATGCAGAGAAGTAGTAAATCGTGATCACAAGGATGAGAAGTCACAATTGCTCTCCACATCTGAATTCAAAAGGAATCTCAAAAAGACTGCTAGTGATATGGCTGAGTATAGATCAACAATCCTGTGTTTAAAGACCAGTGAAGGCAACCGAGTCACTTCCAAATTTCTCAGTGAGCAGGAGATGTGATTGTTTTACATCGACCTATTTCGCAGTGCTCTACCACAACAGCCTCACCCTCCTTCTCCATCCAGTACCACCCTTTTTCTCATCTGACATTCATTCAGCCATTGAAAACATGCCAGCCAGAAAGGCTCCAGGTCAGGATGGTATCAGTGCAGAACTTTTAAAAACGTACAGAATTCCTCTTTACAAAGAACTTGCCCACCGGGTTGTTGTAGGTT